GCTGCACAGTTGATCTGTGTCTTCTTTCAGAACCACTAAAACGTGCGGTGGACAGCTTTCGAAAGGCAGCTGCCCATTTGGACCAGGTGATCCACAGTTCGGACCTGGCAAATGAAACGTAAGAGCACAAACTCGCATATATTGTTAACTCCTTTGCTTGTCTGCATAGCAATTAACGGCGAGTCTCTCTCTGTCTCTCTTCTTCAAGACCGCTGAAGGTCAGAATGATCAACGACCAGCTCATGCTGCTGGACCGAGCTTTCTTGGACCCTCTGGCTTTCCCAGATAAATACGCATTCAGGTATGAAACGTCAGCCTGATAGCCCAGGGTGAGTGCATGTTGGATTCTGGGGCTATATGCAAAATATAAACGTGATGCCATGTGCAGTTTGCTGTGTGCACTCCACTTGATGGCCCCAAGGTATACATGAGACATGAATATTGACACACAGTGACAGAAAGTAGTTTTGTTTTGTTTTGTTTTGTCTGACATGTCTTAAAAACAACTGGATAGATCTGCTGCTAAACATTAGCATGTACACTATATCGACACTGTGAGCATGCACACACCTAGCTAGCATAGCTGATTCTTGGTCTTGTCATGAAGACACCTGTAAAGCATTTATTCTATAATAAATTCCCTTTTATTTATTACACATGCTACATTGTTGGGGGTTCCCAGAGCTGTTAAACTCCTCTCCTCATGCCATGTTAGGGACCATGACACTGACTATCTGCGTCATTGTGGCTAAGCATATCTCTGTTAATTGTTCAGCTGCCTATCACTGTGTCATCACTCTTTATATGTTACACAGGCATGTTATCTGGGCTTCAAGTAGTGCAGGCAAGCCGACCTTCCCAGGCCTGGCTGATGCCTTTGCTAATGCTGAGTCATCAGGAGAGTCCAGCGCCTGGGACAATGTGCACTACCACCTATCAGTCCTGAGCCAGGCCATCGAGGGCGCTGCCCACACACTGATTGACGTCATATAGAGGACGAAGGAGGGAGGAACTACACTTGCTCAGGGATTTTTTTTATTTTCTTTTTTTTTTATGAGCACTGATCAGGTCGACCATGATGCGACTATTTATGGATGATATTAAGTGAGGGTATTTAGGAATCACTGTACAGAGCTCATCATCAACCAGTAACATGAATATTCTATCTTTGTCACAGGATTAAAATATTTAAATATGATGAATGTTTTTATAATACCACTTCATTAAAGCTGAACCACTATTAAAACGGATGTTTTTTTTTATGTGTATGCCAACTATTAAAATTTGCTCCCACTTATATAGGTGAAAAGTGCCTGGTTACCTGCAGGATACTAATATCAGTCTTTCTATGTTAAGTGAAAAACAAAAATTACAATAACGAAGAAAATATCGATACGATTAACAAACATCCACCTTAGTAAGGCCATGTCCTTATTAAAGAAAAGCTCTTTGACCTTGGTCGTATTAAAGGAGCTCTAAACAATATTCAGAGCATGTCTATGATTCAGAAGATGTCTGCACATGGCTCTCAACATGAGGGTGGCTGAGCCAGCAGCAGCTAACAGCATCAACAGTGCTGACAGAGCCAACAGTGTTAACATGACAGGGGAACGCAGGGTAAACACTATGCTTCCGCGCCACTATCGTCCTGACCCAAGGTGGTGGGACGCCGTTATCAGTGTAAACCACCATATGAACGCAGTGCAGAGCAGCGGTGAGTAGCTAGCCAGTGGGATACACACACGTGACTAACATTCAAAAGCATTCAGACCACAACGATGAACAGAGAAGCTTGGATTACGACACACGTACAGAGGGAGCGTGACTTCATTCTCTGCTCAGGATGCCATTACTCCCCTTTATCTTTACATAGCAAGTTGTGGTTGGCAAATTATGTCTAGACCAGCTTTTCAATGCATGTTAGTATCTAACAGCAAACTAAAAGTTTCCTGTTCTCATTGAAAGATCTCTTTTTTAAATGATCAAAACTTTAGGGTCGTGACCATGGCATATGATGGTCATTTTTAATATTTCAAAGATCAAACAGCACATTTTTGCTCGAGCAAGAATGAGTCACAATAAATAAGGGACGATGGCTTGCTGATTATGCAGACATTTACGTCATCTTCCTGTGCCAGAACCATTTCATCTAACAGGAGCGGTAGACAGTTGTACCCCTGAGCAACCAGACTGTCTGTGAATGAGGACATAAGACAGACACTGCAGAGCCATTACAGCAGAATGATGCAATGTAAATTTACTGGATTTATGTTCCAGAAGTTATTAGATCACGATCCTTCAGTGCACATACTGGGTTGTGTGATGTTTAATTTAGAAAGACTGGTGCAAAGCTTTGTCATGAAGGCCTGTTAGCAACATTTGTCAGCTGTAGGATATCTGGCTATCAGCACTCTGATATGTAAATGTTCACAGCGTCATAAGATGACTATCTAAAGAAACTTAATCCCCTATACTGGAAATGCAGGTGCAAAAAATGCAAATCTTGCACTGACAGACCGCATCAAAAACCTGCTACGGGCCTCAACTGCATCCTGTTGCAGGTCTGGATTTGGAGCTGCAATACTGCCTCCTGCCACCAGGGGCCAGAAAACGCTTTGAGACAACCTCATGGGCCTAGTCAGCTTTTGGGATTACAAGTGTGGCTGTCACAAAGGCTGAGTGACAGCAGCTACACACCCAGTGAAATCAGCCGTCTGGAAAAGGGAATTAATTTCAAAGATTCATCACATGATAATGCTGCCAGTAATGCTTTAAGCCTTGATAATAGTCATGACGTGTGATGAAGAAGTGTAGAAAGAAAGAGAAAAGCTCCAGGGAGGAAGAAGCATGAGAAGCTGTCGAACTCTGACCACATGGGTTCTGTACTTTCTTTGTTGTTCAGGCTCTCCTGTAAACACAGATTTCTCAGGGACTGCTGTTTTTATCCAGGCCTCTTCCCCTCTGGTTAAAGTTTACAGAGTTAGTCACACCCATCTGAGTCCTTTGAGCCATTGCAGAAACACAACCTGGTGGTGACACTGATGTGTAATAAATAATAATGTGTGTTTGTTTGGGTAGGTGTGGGTTTAGGGTTTATTTTAACCCTGATTGCTCTACAAAAAGATGTGTCCCTTTGGTTTTTGGTTATTCTTAAGTTAGAATCAAGGTTACAAAGTTGGGTCAAATGAAGTTAAATGAAATTTAGCAGCACTGTGAGCTTTAAAATGTGCATTCAATGCAACATGAGACACCTGACAGAGCTCAGGTGTCTCACAAAAACTGAAAAATCCACATTTACTATGTCAAACGAAGACAAGAGTTAAATGTTACTGGCAGGGAATCTTAACGCAACATTTGCCGTTGTTTTCATTAGGGTATATTTATGTTATGTTGTCTGCCCAAACCACTTTTTGGATGTTACCTAAACTATACACTGACCTCATTAGTTCAGGATCCGTATTTCAGTGTTGTGCAGGAATGACTGGCTGTTTTGTTGGTGACACATTTATGGACGTTCCCCAGTATTTTTAGCTGGGGAATATTTACAGAGGATGGACTCTCTTTTTAGCAGTGCCGTACTTGACATTTACACAGGTTGACATTAATATTTTGCAGAACTGCCCAGAACAACCAAAGTCTGTCTGTTCATAGCCACACTGAGCAGTTTCGGTGGTGCAGCAGAAGCCAGGAGAGGAAGCACGTTGTAGCCTGAAGGTTCCTCACATGCAAATCTTTTGTGACGATTTGTCAGCTGCTTCCTTTATTGTCTGTTGTATTATGTGTGTAATCAGAATCCTGAGTATGTGGTGATGGATGTTGGCCTGACGTCATGTCTCTGATCCATGGTTCCTGCAGATCCTTGAAAGGTCTTTAAAGCATTTGATTCATTAATCTAAAAATAAGGATTTAGGTGCTAAAACGTGTGAAATCAATCCGTCGAAAATCTTAAGAATGCTAAGACATGGGAAAAAGGATTTCCAACTTGGCATGATGCGAGTCAAGGTCATGGAATCCGACATGTACAGTCACAAACTCGGCCAACAAACACCAGGTATTCCCCAGTTCTGTTCTATCCTCGTCTCTTTTACAAGACAAAAAAAAAAGTCACGTTTTATGTCACAATAAAATGGTCTCTCTGCCTGAAGGATGAATGAATTGGTTCTTGTCATTGTGAGTAGGTGTTCTAATATTTCTATGTCTCCCTTCAGAAAGAGATTGTTAATCTCAACAGGACTTACCTGGTTAAAAATGGATTAAACAATAAATAAATAAATAAATAAATACACATTTAAGCAAAACTGGTCCCTAACCCTTAGCAACTGACGTCGGTTCATGATTTTTTTTTTCTTTTATAGTCCTGAATTTTGGTTACTGTTAAACTGGTCTTAAAGTGCATACTAAGTGGCATTTAAATAGTCTTAAGAAGTCTTAAATATAATTTGCTGTAAGCTGTCAGAACCCTGCTAATTTGCTTTTACCAAAACACATGCACACACAGCAGGGATTGCTGTGGTGCTAAAAAATGAGTAGGCAGCCAGCCATGACTGAATGGATGAAACTTTTAGTCAAACATTACTTTTTAATATGACTTTTGTGAAGGACCTGTATTTAATGTGGAACAGTCACACGTGACTGATAACTGGTTCACTTCAGGGTCAGTAACAGTGGATATCCAACATGCAGTAAGAGCAGTGAGGTGGTAAAAAGGAGGACTTCCACAATATCTGTCAATCAAAAACAAAAACAGCAAAGGCAGGTGTTACTCGCCAGTCGCAGAGTTTATTCTTTTAAATATACATAGACTTTTTCCCCATATTAAATACCCCACCACCCTTCCCTCCCTCATCATCCCTCCCTCCCTCCTCCCCATTTCTCCCCACACTCTCAGTTCTCCGCTTTCTCTTTCCCCCGCCCCTCCAGAGAGAAAGCTCGTCTCGGCTGAAAAACACACTCTACTTTGTGCAGCATATTGCTTATTAAGACATTTGCGAAAACATAAATTAAAAATACTACAGCTTGTTTATTTTTTTCATTTTCTGCTCCAACATCAGACTGTTCTGAACAGAATCTAAAAAAAGAAGAGAAATTTATAAAAGAAAAACAGCACAGTGTCCCTCAGTCTGGCTACATTAAATGAACTGGATTCCCCTGTTTTTCATGACATGGTATGACCCTCCTGCCTTGAAGCGAACACAGCAGTCTGTACCATGATGGGTGAAATGGTAAGAAGAGAAATGAATTCTTCAACACATGTCCTGAGTTTGGTCAAATCATGTCAGTGTGGGTTTTTTTCCATCATGTGATAAATGACATGGGATCAAGATGGCTGCTTTGATTTCAGCCTTTGCTTTCACTAGTGTTTGTGTCTCTGCTCGTCTCCTCTCTGCTGGTCAGAAAGTGTGTGAGAAGTGGGGGAGGGGGGTGATCATTTTCTTCACCCCGCAATCAGGGATGTGCTTGTTGCTTGCGGCATTTTTTTTCTAAATCAAAAGTTTCTGCAATTATTGGTCCGGTGAGGCGGTTGGAGCTGCAGGCAGAGTGAAGGACAGTGTGATACGGCACTAGAGGAAAATTCAGGTGTTTAAGTCACAAGGCATGCATGTTAACACTGAACTCAGAAAGTCACCACCAAAGTGTTTCAGCTGTGACGTGTGTGTAGTATGTGCTGTGCATGAGTCTTGTCAGTCTGTTTTGGTGTGTGCGTCAGTGTTTGTGCATTTCTTTCTTTGTACAGGTGGTGTTGTAAAAGTCCTGCTTGTGCCTGCATGCTCTTACACACTAATAAGTGTAATATTTCTTAATATATTCAATGAATGGAAGATACAAGGAATGCAGTGTTTGTTTGAGTGACATTTTATGTCACTAATTTGTTTTAACTCTGAATTTTCAGCTGAGAATAAATGTATTAAAAGCGGGACTTTTACGATCACCAACACTGTATCATATGTGCACATGTGTCTTGTGTGCATGTGGCATGTCTCATCAAGTCTTATCAAGTTTTGTGTTCATCATTCTAGCAGTCTGTCTGTTTCCCTCCCTCCTCTTTAGGAAGCACAGGAGGGGCTGCTTTGGCGTCGGGGAGGGTCAAGGGGTCACGCTGGGGTCACACACGGGGGGAGTATTTAGGGTTTCTTGGCACCTCGGTGAAAGATTTCAGCTCATAAGGGATCCCTGTGTCCACTTCGATGGATTTGCGGGAGAATAGCAGCCGGATATCATTGTGCAAGTAGATCTTCCCAGATTTAGAGCTCTGGAATCTGAAAACCAAGAAAAATATTATTTAAAAGAAAGACACTGTAGTTCCTCTGTGTGCGACTCTTGCTTGTTTTTAAGTTATTCTTGTAATCTTATATTTCAAGACATCTTGACACAGGCACAATTTAAAGTCAAGTGATGCAGATAGGTGAAACCTCAGTCTTACCTGAGATGTATCAGGTAGCAGAGAATCTTCTTCCTGTCTAGCACTCCGCTCCCTGGAGATGCCTCGCTTTTCCCCTCCACCCCTTCCTCTACAGGCACCAGGAAGATGCGGTGCCGCAGGAAGGTCATGTGATTAACGGGCATGTCGCCAAAGTTATAGGTCACCAGGAACATCTTCACCACAGTTTTGTTGGGATTAAATAAGGTCTGAGAACAGATGACTGACTAAAGTCAGCATTTCGAACAGCAAAAATTAGACAGCTGGTGGTAGTTTCAAAATAAAGGCTAACTTTTTAAACCTGGACACTATTCTCCCATGTTTTTGTGTCTAAGCGACTAATGGAGACAACAATTTTTGAAACTGGTCCAGTATAGAGCAAGAGGGCTGCAGCCGACAACGATGAGACAGGCTCAGATTATTTTAAGCGTCTGACAACATTATAGCGAGGATCTCTATAGACATAGACCTTTTTAATTAAAGAGAGCAAGATCCTTTTTGTTTAACCAGAAACAGCCTTGAAATTGCTATCGCCAACCTCACCAGACTCCCTTTGAATAAACAGAAATTTTGTCATCGTTAAAAAAACTTCTTTCAAAGTCAACAGAAACAAAATAAAACTCACAAAAACAGTCTCGCTTTGTCTTTCCACTGTTCCAAAAATCACCAGCTCTGTGTTGCTTGAAATAAACCCTTAATTCATTCAGTTAGATGTGAAAATGTGCTGGCTCTATACACACCAAAATCACTGTTTATTTAAACGGAGTCTGGTGGGTTTGCCGACAGCAATTTCTGGGCTGTTTTTTGTCGCAGAGAAAGGATCTCATTCTTTAACAAAAAGGTCTATCTCCTCAGGGATCTTTCCACAATGCTGTCGGACACTGTCAGCTGCTGCGCGCTCGCTCAATACTGGACCAGTTTCAAAGTTTGTTGTCTCGAGGCTGCCTGGTCTTCTCTTGAGCAAAGAATGAGATGAGGATGAAGAAAAGATGAACTTACCACTTGAATGGTCCCTGCTTTGGGTATGCTGTATCCTTTCTTTCCAAGAGGCTCGAGGGATATCACACCCTGTGGGGGACGGAGACAGAGACATGGCTCTCATTAAATGTCCTCAATCACTGTGAGGGTGAAATAACTCATTCTTAGGTACATTTTAATAGCTGTGAACTTTGACATCAGGATCTAGATCTGGATGTAGAAGAAATATGCTGAAATGAAGCAGTGGAGCAATGGAGCAGCAGTGTAACAGCCCCTCAAATCACCACAGCTTTTCCAAAAATTTGACCCATCATTGCAGTTCCCCATGAGTTTCAGCACTTATAGCAGTCCCCTGCATAACATCACCAAACTTCTTTGTTTCTGGTAGTGAAGATGCAGATATGAACGACATGAACGTCTCGCATTTATCGACAAAAATGACTGCTAAAGACCTGCAAGGCATTCCCTGATGTTCTGCACAAAAGCTGAGGTAAACTGTTATGCACCATGTGCAACGCTGTGTGTGCAACGTGTGCAACACTACTTCTACCATAAAACCGTGAGAATGGCTGAAACTTGTAAACAACAGACAAGACAAATCTCCATGACAGAGGCTGTTGAATCCAGATCTTCTGCATGTACTTAAAGAATCAAGGTAAGATTGAATATGTGTGGTTAGTGGTAACGTTCGTGTATAAATCACAAACTCAGAGCAGTGCAATTTCACTCCCCCCTCGCAATTTTATTGCAAGAGAAAAGCCTAAAAAAATCGTAACATGCATCACAAAGCTGCCATAAAATCCTTTGAAGCATAAAGCATTTTAAGCCACAACAATCCCAAAAAAATGCCCGCAAATCCTAGAGGGTCTTTTAGTACGATAGTAATTTTTGGTTCGAGACACAACTATATAGGTTATGCACGTAAAACCAATGCCTCATTCTAAAATAACTACATCATGCTATAGTTACAAAGGCAGCGACGCAGGGAGTCATATAATGGTAAAAGTCAATTAACAGTTCAAAGTACTGAATCAAAAGAGGCCTTACATTCACCACTTTTATACACAGCAATTCAGAGTCAACATGAGGCATGAAGCTAAGAAAGTGAAAACAGCTGTTTTCCAAATGGTCCAGAGTCACAGCAGACACAGTTTAAGACTTGTTGAAAGCAGATCTGAAGTTGTTTACATATTTATGCTGGCCCTACCTTGCGAAGTACTTGTTTATCTTGTGCTGTATGATTATATATGTGATAAATATATAGTGTTAAGTGCTGATGTGGACAGATGTGAGAAAAGCGTCACGATATCTGCATGAATGGAAAAACACACTACATATTTTTTACATCTGGTTCTGAACAGAGAAGCCAACATCAACCTTGGTGAAGCCAATTCTGTTTCTGGAGTTTGTTCCGATCTCTAATTTTGCATTGTTTTTCTTTCAATGAGTGTATTGTTTTCACACAAGCAAACACACTACCTGCCACGTGCAAGAAAGTGTGTTGGTTTTTGTTTGTTTTTTTGTTTGTGCTTGACTAAGCGTGCACACAATATCTTTCACACACACACACACACACACACACACACACACTGACCAGGAAGGGTGAGGGTGCGCTGTGCTCTGAGATGTCGTAGTATGTAACCTGCACCGGCAGGGTGACGTGCTGTGGGCAGTAGGAGCCGCTGGCACCGATCTCTGCCGTGAAGCCTTCGATCCGGCCTGACGGGGAGAATCGTCCCTTCAGAATGGACTCCTGGAACACCAAGAGAAAGAGAAGAGAGTAAACAGTCGTGAACAGGAGCCTTTTTAAAACTCTTTATACTGTAAAATGTTGGTTTAATTAGGGAGCTGAGCATTTACTGCTGCACTCTGAGTCACGCTTGGCCAAAGATTCAGATAAAAACACCTTTGGACGGTGAGGTCCACAAAGTTCTACATTTTATGTATTTTTGTAATTAAAACAAAAGCAGTGTTCACAATAATAAAACGTGCACCTGCAGGCCCACAGCGTGAGCCAAGAGGAGGATATTTTGAACACATTAGTTCTTCAACTAACATTATTACTCATTTTACCTTGTTTTATTGGCAAAGTTTTATGATCCACTGTCTTAAATTAGCTACTCTAAGAAGTAAAACAAACATCATAGATAACTTCACATGTCATTTTGGGCACTGACTTATATTCTGCACTCACTGTTAGTCCTTACAACCATAGGCAAGGCTCTGCAACAATTAAAACAAACAGCCAGGCCTGTTCAACACACAAAATAAGATTTCAGCTCTGCTTCTCTCATGTATGTAAATGGTAAGGACAAAAAATTAGGAACATCTCTCGATTTAATGTTCCCACCTGTAACCATGACCTAACTAGTGTGCATAGACTTCACATATTTCTGACAATGTCACCAAAAACTGATTGTACAGATGGCCAAAGAGTGTGTGTCTACCTGGAATGGCTTTACATTGGTTAAGGTTTGGGTTTGTCTGTCAACACCGTGTAAACGCGGGCACCATTTTTGACCTGCAGTGAAACTTATAAAATAATGTTTAAAATGTGTACCTCGAAGTTGCCAAGTAGTGATCTGCTGATGGAAGATGAGGGCCAGCTGGAACGTGTGGAGCGGCCGGTGTCTGTGTGTCTCCCGCTGCGCAGCTGCCGACTGAATATGACCACAAACACATACAAAACAGACTGGTGGTTAGTGGTTAAGATTACACTAATTTAGTCTCGACCGACATCTCACATACTTCTGAGTGTGTCTGAGTATTCAGCTACAGACAAAAAATGTTGACTATGTTGACTTTGCTGCAGTCGGTCTGGCTGACATTGAACTGATTTCATCTATACACGTGTGCATTCTTACACTCTGACCACGCAACATTGTTCTCTTTAAGCTGTTGTTGGTAACTTTTTAATAAAATTTTATAAAATATAAAAAATAATAAAAATAATAAAAAAAAATGTGTCATATTTATAGAGCTGTCACTTTTTAGTAGAACATGAGACAGTCTGTGAAAAAATCATATTCCTCTGCCTCCTTTCAGTGCTTCTAATGTCCTTACCACACATGAATAAACAACCAATAAGAGCTGAGGAGTCTCTAACAGCTGTCCATCATGTCAATCATTCCTCGTGAACTGCGGTCAACTGCCAAACTAGGTAGCGCTGATTAAATATGAATAAACATTCTGTTGCTGTATTGCCAATTCCTTGCCTCAGATGTTTTCAGAGACATATTTTAGTGTACAGTTTAGCTCTAAAATGAGAGAGATTGTGAAACAGTCAAGCCAAAACCAAGCACCGCCCATCAGCCGGAGCAAAGTTTCTCATTTTACAGCTAAACAGTACACTAAAATATGTTTCTGAAATGTTTCTTTGAGGCAAGAATTTAACAATGCAGTAACAGACTTTTGATTCATATTTGGTCAGCGCTGTGTAGTTTGACAGTTTGACCACAGTTCACGAGCACTGACTGACACGACTAACAGCTACGTCAAAAACACACGAAGAAGATGTAGAAGAGCTATGAGGAGGAAGAGGAAGATGATTTTTTTTTCTTCTTAAAGACGATCTTTCTCATGTACTGCTGTGTACTGTGTGGATGTAGTGACAATTTCAGCAAATATAGCAAACAGTCATTTTCAGAAAAGGTCCCACCTGTAACTTTAATCCCTCTTTAAAAAACCCTCGTCATTCATAAATAAATTATATAACTTGGTTGAAAATATGAAGGAACACTCACCTTTTCAGCCGCAGCCCACTTTTTAGCCGTCTCCCTGATCTTGTGCAGTCTGTGGCGGTCTGAACAAAGAGAGGACAGAAAAAAAAGGAAATTATTACTTGGTTTTCTCTGTTAATATACTAATTTAAGTCAGCCTATAGCTATTCACAAATGAGCAACTTGCTTGAAATGCTAAAAAACGTAACTCCTAAATACACTCAGAGAAAATGAAGATATTTAAATAAAGAAAAAGTGGCCGTGTGTTAGTGTTCCTGTGTTCCCGTGAGAGTGATTTATATGTGTAGCTGTGTATTTCAGGTGTCCGCTTACTTACTGAGCACTGACTTTTGGATGTTGCATCACACGCATAAACATTCCCCATTTCCAGGCTGCCGTTCATCGTAAAGGCCACCCAACTGTCAGGTGACTCGTCACTAGCCAAACCTATGCTACCTGCTAGCCATTTGCTCACAGCAAAACTTTCACTCATGGTTAGCTTCTTGTCAATAGCTAACCTTTGACTACACTGGCTCTCCACAGAGCCCAGGGCTCTTTGTCAGCTCGTCGTCTCATCGTCACACTCGATTAAAACCACAGACGGCATCTTAGAATATCCTCCCGTCTCCCCTTTCTGTGTCTCTTAAATATCTTTTTCTAACCTTTATTTGCTGAAATATCCCTGTGACAGTTGAGCCCTGCTCCTTTTCTTCCTTTCACTGTGCTTTCTGTCCCTAATTTATGTCCTTGAGTCTTTCTTACGTCTGTCTGTTTCTCCCTGTGCTTCCCTCACCAAACACTAAACAACTCTCGTCACAATGAGCCCACCACTGTATGAAACCTAACCAGTGAACTAGTGAACCCCATTGTCATCATTTGCACACTCCCATCCCACAAACACACACTCAAAGCTCTTTCTGGCCTCCCATCGTTCAAAAATGGCCATTTCACTTCCAGAACCATTTTTTTAAGCAGGATGTATGTGCATGTGTGTTTGTGTGTTTGCATCTGTGTGTGTTGATGTGTGTGCATGTGTATGAGAGACACAGCACACTCATGTGGGGGAACAATGGACGCTCCCTCAATGGGCTTTATTCTGGAGCTACTCAGCCTGTTCCAGCGTGGCGTGATAATGAGCTGGCCATCACTTCATTCTTTCACTTTTACTCATTCTCTTAGTTTCTCTGTATTTATGTCTCGGCCTCTTTTCCAGGATTGTCAAGGTTCACAGATGTCTTATCATCAACCACTGGCCTTTAACGGTCACTACTTAATCTGTTTTCAGTGTTTTAGAAGCTCGTCTGTGTGGTGGTCAAAACGTTTTTGGTCTAAAAGCGTGGTATTTGCATTGCAAATGTGCACATGCTGTTTTTCTACAAATGCTGCAATAAAATCACTTAGCGCTTCTCTTTTTGTGGTAGTTAATAAGGCTTGGAAAACTGTTTCATTCGGTTGTTAAAAAGAGAAAGAGAAAGCAGTTTTCCTCAAATAAAATGGCGTTCCCTCAAGGATTTTATGATATCATTAATATTGGGATCATAGAAGTATTTTGTTACATCTATTTATTTCAGACTCTTGCAGATGGAGATTCCTCAGTATTGGAAACATTTGCTCAAAGCAGCTAACTGCATTTCTGTCATTAAATGTACTGATTAAAGTTAAATTCTGTCTGTTTTTGACTTCAACTCATCAGTGTGCCACCTTAAACTGTGTGCTAGGCTAACCACTCACACACCATGGCTGTATCTGTCTTGTAGTTACGACCAAGTTGCACTACAACTAATATTAGCTATTAGCTAGCACAGGAGTTGAAACTATTGGCTGATGCAGTTGTGGTAAATTAAATCACTTAAAATAAACCAAGAAAGAAGTGTGAGTCTGCTGACCTTAGAGGGAAGCAGGTGGTTCCAGTAAGGGGCAGCTTTAGCATCAGTGCTGCGACATGATGCCGGGCCAAGTCCTGTTGCCAGCAATGACAGCCTGCTCCTCTTGGATGTGGAGGGTCCCTCATCTTCTGAGCATGACTCGCCCGTGTCGCTCGGTGACAGAAGCCTCTTTTTGGCTGGCCAGTGGCCTACAGAGGAAAGACGGTGGCCATTACTGCTGGGAGTTTTCTCCCAGGAAGCCAGGCCGTTAGAGGATGAGGAGGCAGCCTGGGTGGCACTTCGCTCAGGTGGGGAGGATTCGAGTCCAATGTCCCATTCGGTGGCCTCCCCTGGCTCCTGCAGTTCTGTGTGGTGCGGGGGGGAAAAAGGGCCTGGGGGACTGGTGGGACTGGCTGGGTTGGGAGTCTCGTATGTGGACATTTCATATAAGTGAGGGCTGGGCTGGCCTCCAGATGAGCCGTTACTACAGCTCTCATGTGCAGGGCTACCTAGTGAGTAGGTGGGTGTGTGGCCCCCGTTAGGCGGCTCAGTCCTGGCTGAGCTTCCGAGGGGATGACCCTGGTCACACAGATGGCCATGTGGGTCACACATTGGGGGTGATTTAGGTGAGAGTGGAGCAAATACATCAGGAATGGGCCTGTCATGATTGTGCTGAGTTGGGCGTCGGGAGGGGTTGTGGCTTGGGGAGAGGGGTGGAGACCTGGGTGACAGTCCCCCCTCCGAGTCTCTGTGCTCCATCTGTGTGCAAGAGTATACAGAACCAGGCCCACCAGGGCCCGTCGCTAAGCCCATCCCGACACCTTGAGCTGGAGCGGGGCCACACAGCACCCCTCCCTCTAACTCCTCCTTGTCTAAGGTGTCCCCCAGGTGGGGGCGCTTATGAGTCAACTGGGGCTCCTCTAGCCCCCTTTTCACGCCAAACCGGACAGGCCTCTGTTGAGTATCAGTGTGGGATTCTGTGGAGGTAGAAAATCCCCCCAACTGGGAGAAAATGGAGAGCTGGTAGACCTTTTGGAGCCGCAGCTCCTCCTGGCCAAAGTGCCTGGGCGCCCCTGGTCTGACACCAGGGTCTAGGCCCTGTGTTGGGGCTGTAGGTGGAGGCAGGTCCCCCTCTTGGGCTGGAAGATCTAATGGAGCCTTTTTGTGGGCTAACTCCACGTGAATGTGCCGCATGGTTGCTATGCTGGAGGATGATAGTCTTGACTAACTTGCAACACGGTCAAGCAGGTCCTCACAAATGCCAGGAGGCAGAGCAAGATGTTCCACAGTAGAAGGAAGTCCTATACTTCCTGCTGTGATGTTGTCAAACAATGTGAATCAGGAAGCTGAGCCGCACAGCACCTGAGAGAAACGAAACACAGCATTACGATTCAGGGCAGATTTCAATAAAGCATTATATAATGTTAGACTGTTGATCGAACATAAAATCTAAATGCCACTCGGGACTTGGCAGTTTTAAAACAGTATGCAAATACAGCTCTTTAACAGCATTAATTCGCCACTTTATTAATGCAGTTTAGGCAAGGCATAAGCCTAATTTGTCTCCTGTCTAATTGAAGACAATGCCAGAGATCAGAATCTCACCTCTGTGCCCGTCCTTGTCTAATTCTGCCCGTGTGGACAACCTGCATCTGGCACAACATCTGGAGGTTGTGTCTAAAATTATCTGCTAAAGGAATCCGTTTATCTCCATGGCAGCTGCCACGAAACAACGCCAACATCCCAGGATCAGGGATCAGGAAATAGTGAGGACTCCAGAGGACGCAGGAGTTAAGGAGGTGGGCACAGAGGCTACGGCCTGAGGAGAAAGAAAAAAAGGTGGGTTGGTTAAAAATTAAAATAAAATCAACTAACACCATGATAGATATAACAGTTGATGATCTGAAGTTACTAAAGACATTCCACTTTTCACTGCATGCTTGTCAAACACCTCGGATATATTTCCAAGAATAAAAAGGTTTTGATTTATTTTAACCAATTTGAAGTTACAACTGGTCAGTATGCATCAATTACATTATGTTTCTTTGTTTAGGAAAGACATTTAATTTAAGACAGTCTGCAACAAGTGACTTGGATCAAATCATCCCAGTTAAGGCTGAAACTTACCAGAGGGGCAGAGTGTCAGTGACGCAGGACACTCTTGAGAGGAAACGTCTCTGTACTGAAATCGGAAATACCAGTAACTCTATCGGGGCTCCCCCTGTGGTTGGCTGATAGCCAGACACGCCCTCCTTGGTCACCTGGGCGTGGGACACGGCACGACTGTGGCATCATGACACGGTCATTCCACCCAGAATCCCTGAAGAGACAGAAAGACACAAAGAAATCAAGTCAGTTTTTTTACACTTCTACTTTCAGGAGACTATTCCTCCTGACAAAAACACACACGCACACACACAGACTAAGACAGACATGCTGATGTACACATTCAAAATTACACCAAAGAGAGCCACAGAAGCACACATATGTCCATACACCTCTGCATACTTGAACAGACACACTGCAGAAGAAGGCACATGTATTGTGCAAACACAGCAAGTTAAGGAGTCAATATTTCAGTCCATTCCTGAACTTGAGAGAAACAACACAAAAGACAAATCAATCAAATAATCAATCCCTTTATCCTTGAGTACTCAACAAGTCAAAAGAGGGAGAAATGTTAATCTCATTCTCTTTAAGTACAAAACCCCAAACACTTTGGATTGAGGATCAAACATGGAGGAGCCACTGGTGGAGCTGAGAGTTGATATTTCCAGTTTTAACTTGGCACTAAGTGGTCCAAGGCCAAGAGAAGCGGGCTGTTTCCCGACCCACTTGGACCAGAACTTGGGAATGTGGAGGGTGGGGGAGTCGCAGTGAACCGTCGCCATGGCAACCAGTAGCCCAAGGATAACGGCTCCTTTGTGTTTGGCCACAAAGAGGGAGAAAGAATTAGAGCTACAGAGGGAGAGGGGAGGGTGGACGGTGGTGGAGGGTGCTGGGGGGGACCGGCAAAGATGCTCCTCCAAGAAAATATCTATCAAAATGGCTGTCCTCCATGAGGTGTGTACAGCCAGCCAAAAAAATTCAACACACTGTGTTAGAGGCCTGTGCTGTTAACCTAAAGCAAGCAAAACATATCAGACTGCGGATCTTACACATGTCATCCAAAGCTTGAAATGTTAAATGTGACAATAATTGGAGGAGGTTTTTGAAAATAGCCAAGAAAGCTAATGTGCCTAACACCCTGCTGGCACCCATATAAATCAATAAAAAAGAGGAATACGGCTGGTTCCTATTTAGACCTACATTACAGCAACTAGTTATTTCACTTTCTGGTATTTCTCTCTGAATCACCATGACGAAACAGCAATGACGTATGAAGAGATCCATTACTGTACTTACACAAAAGGAATGACACAGGCCTTAAGAACAAGGGGGAAGAAAGAAAAAACTGGCAAGTAAAAAGGAACTGTAGATAACAACAGTAGTCTATAGGTATTTTCCACCAGACTGAAACACACCTGAAATGCATCCGCTGGTGAAACTGTAAGTGGTGTTGAATAAAATCCCCAAATTGCTATAAAAATATGCAATGATCAAACTTGGTAGGTAATACCCCGGGTATTACTTACCGAACTGCACTCTAGGTGACCTCTGGCTGATGTTAAAATTCCTTGGCTGAAAAATAGTGTTCATATGAGCATGTATAGTGATTTATCTATCTTTTCTCAAACAAAATTCTCCATTCAGTCGGAACAAAACAGTTGTCAACTTAAACAAGAAGGGAGGGATCATCTGTCAAAGATGACACAAGACAACAAGACAGCTCAAGAAAGAAGAATATAAAAGGGAAAGTAGAGACAGACTGAGGGCCTATGTCCACATTGTGTTTTTTCCCCAAACGGCAGCGTCTTTTTTCAATTGTTCCCAATGAGGTGAGAGCGCATGCAGCCCCATGTGGCCGTCAAGAGAAAAGTGCCACGCCCAGCTTCTTTTTTTCAGAGCGGATCGGCTTTTTTAATCTGAGCACTTCTAGTTGAAAATCTCAGAACTTTTCAGAAAGGCGCTGCTGTTCTCACTGCCACTACTGTCTATCCTTAGCTGTATAATACTGCCACAGCAAAGACAGAAGAGCCCCTTTGTGGTTTCTGAGTGTTGTGCTTTTATCACCATGAGAGTTGTAAGCTTGCTGGTAACTGTGTCGTCAATTCTCTGTTAACATACTGTAGCATTACGTTAGCTGCCCAGCTCACAATCAAGGTATTGTTGTCATGGACACAAAACCCAAGTCATTTTAAAAAGCTCTAGGAGCACTTTTTTGCCAATGAAAAATGCACTGTGGACACTGTGGAGTCTACCTTCCCATACATTATAACCTGATTATATACAACTGCAGTGTAATGGTATATCATCCAGTAAGAATGCTTTACCATCACTGCAAACAAAGCATTGCATGGGGATGATGCCAAGAGTCACCTGTAATTACTTACAATGCTACAAAAACAGCTTATGCAATCACAAAATGCCTGAGTGCCTCTCCTATAATTCAACAGAACATCATTTTACAGTCCAGTGCACATGCATATAAAGTATATTAACAACCCAAGAGAGAGCAGGTTTGGGTTACATTTTTTATACTTTACCCAACAGGAAAGAAAACACAGTAATAGGACAATAAATAATAACCTAATAGTAACATTCATAGTCTAAATGACATAAATCACTACTGCTTTAACTTACTGTTTTTACTGGAATTAGAAAAATATGAACAGGAGGGAACATCACTAAAACTTCTGAAAACACTTAAGGGTCACACATCAACTGCTGCCCATGAGGGAACATTTGCAAGACAAATCCTCTAAACAAGATTATTTTACTGATGCTTCTCAGGGTGGGGGACACTCCTCAAGCCAAACAAGAACTGCCCTGGTCAAACAGGGATATCTAGTTAATCTCATTACCAAGTCAAATAACAAAAGATAGGGAGCACTACTTGTGTATTTGAGTTCACTTAACATGATAAAACAAATCACCGCCTCTTGTTTTGTCCCCTCTTAAAGTCAGGTGGAGACTCCTCAGCACGGAGTGGGGGATGGGACATAATGGGAGAGGAGTCAGCAATGAGTATTTATAGTCAGTGCCTATGTCATAGCTCGCTGGGAGAACCCAAAGGCTCTGTGCTAGTTCCTACTTGATTTCTGACCTTGTTTTGAACTAGCTGAGCAGGAGACTGGCAGAGGCTACCCAGCCCTTTTCAGGCTTGATCCAGGAGCCAGCACCGTAGGGGAAAACTCTGGCTTCACCCCAAGAAAGGCTTCAGGTTGCTGGGCGTGTGTGCCAGCTCAGGCTTGAGAACTTAAGAACTCTTTTACTGCATCGCTGAACATTGTAGTGGTTTTAATACACTCACCCTCGTACCTGCCGCCTTAGGCAATCTTCCCATGTTCACGACTGGTCTACCGGTATAATCTGATCTGTGTAAAATGCACATGACCTGTGCACACTTACTGTAATAGCCATGTATATATAAAAACCTACTTTTTGCAACTTCAGTGAACAAATTTTGCCAATATGAGTAAATGAAACATTTTAATTATCTACATAAAATCATTACATTTTCCATTTAAAATCTGTAGAGTGATCCAGGGATGACATTTTCTTGTGGGCCAGCTCAGATGTTAGGGTCGCCCTGGTTCCCTCGACAAAAAGCCAGCAGGATTTTTCCATTGGATTTTGGATTATTGCAGAAAAATAAGCTCTGTGGCAAACAAAGGTTTATGACACTTATATGTATTGTTCAACAATTTAATCTTCACAAATGCACACCATTTTGTGATTTGTGAAGCTTAAATGCAATCGCCAGAAGCACACAGCTAACATGAGGCAAAAACAAACTACATCATGGTTGCTTGACTACACAGTTGCTACTACAACAAGGCTGTAAAGCCTTTTCCAGCAACAACCTCTGTAGTCTAATTAAGCTACTTGTTAGCAATCTCCTTTCTTAGGACTCATAAAAGCTTCACAATTCACAAGTGGGGTATTTACTGAAGAATATATGTTGTACAACAAAACTTGAAAATCTTAAGGTCAGGCATCTAACCAAAAACCCATTCAAAAATTCCATTGACTTAAAGATGAACCGCATGAGCAAAAATGCAAACTCAATTCCAGGTTTAAGGACTCCCTCCTGCACCACTCTATTATTCATAGCTATCATTATTCAAAAAAAATCATGACCTTCAAAATTCATCTCACATTTACTTGATTGAACACTCCTGACATGAAGCATTAAGATGTTTACACATCACTGACAGGCCAGGTGCAATCTCAATGTAACATCTGCAGCACCTCTGGAAGTGGACCAGCGAGCAATCATTCATAAAGAGACCGAGCGAGAGTAGAAATGATGAGATGACACAGACAAAGTAATGAGAAACATCTGACGAGAAGGAAACACCCAAACAGAGAGAGAGAGAGAGAAGAGGGAGGGTAAGGGGAACAAATAGACACCACAGCCCAGCCAAAGACCTTGAGGAAGGTATAAATACAGCAGGCGCAGGCAGAGCTCCACTATGTCAGGGCCAACTCGGAGTGTTCAGGGCTATGCAGCACAAAGAAGCAGGTCTGACACTTGTTAGCACACGGCCTTAAAATAATGATGTACCAAATGGCAACCTCCTGTGTATATCAGTGAACCTTTCTAGATTTTAAAAAATCCTTTTTAGCCACCAGAGCTGTCATCTGAGTAATAATTTCTTGAAAATGGCCCCAGAAAAAAACTGGGCTATACAATATATGATTATTAAATTCAAAGGTTCAAAAGCATATCTGGCTCTGTCACACCTTGTTTTATTTGCATGCACAAAGGAGGAGGAAATACAATGCTTATGTGTGGGTGAAACAAAGGCAAATGAGGAAAACAGGTGAAAAACAATTGAGGCTACTTGGGCACAGAAACCAGACAATGATGAGATGAAGATTCAGTAAAGCGGTGAATGGGACTAAGAGCAAATGCATTTAAAAGAGGTATCATTTGCCCCGGCACAGGCCTGGCTCAGGATGAAAATGAGAATAAACTGAGTCATGCTTACTGAAACAATGAAATAGGAAATGAGTTTTTTCAGATGAAGTAAACTAAGGACAATAATATGTGCATTTATTCCACAGCAGAAAAAGAATAAGAGAAAATACCACTCTAATAATGACTTCACTTTAAGGTAACTATTCAGGAGATTTCATTAACAGTCTAAAACCTGATCTGACTACGAAATGTCATTGTGGACTGAAACTAAGGCCAAAACTCAAAGTTCACAAGGGCATCCCAACTAAAGACAAACAGTGTCAAGAAGCACTGGAGCTCTTACTCAAAGTCATGTATAAGAACTGAGGTCAAAGGGTCTGATACCTTTGACTTGAGAGATGCCTGCTGTGGAGCTCAAACGTTTAGTTCAGGAGATGGTCATGTCCTTCAAGGAGCGTATTTACCTGCTGAGGAGTTTTGAAATATATGCAAGTCTGTGTGTTCCTTTAGGCCAAGGAAGGAGCTGTGGTCGTGAGGTCAAAGGCCAACAGTCTGAGGTCAGATGACTTATGGAACATGAGGAGGACCAGATGCGTGTAATTTCATCATCATGAGAGAGTCAGTGGTTAAAAGCTAACACAAAGCCTGCCGATCTAAGAGTGGCAAATGATTTGCACACACTGGGTTAGTTCCACTGGACAGCCAATTAAGAGCTCATTAGACTGAGACACTCGTCAGTCATCGACGTGGTAACTGGAGCATCAGTATGTTAACCGAAAACATCTGCAAAACAGACCAGAGTGCACTTCAGGCCCTGTTGCGCCCTGTAAACTTTGAAAAGTTGCACATGGGTGGACTGAAACAGACAAAAGTATGCACAGACTTGTCATCAGGAGGTTTGCGGATCACTCTGACCTAGAAACTAGCTCTCAGTGAAATGTATTGGATTGTAGGGGGCAGAGATCACAGCCACCACCTATCGTAAGAAAATACCCTGACATTTGGCCTGTGCCCATTCATCACAACACCCAGATGCTGCACGCTTGTGTACACACACACACACACACACACACACAAACACAGGCACACAAACATTCAAAGTCACTGTCTCTCTTTCAGCATAAAAATACTCAAAGGAAAATACAACAAACAATGGCAGTGACTCTTAACTTGGGCTTGTTTACGATCCTCATCAGAAGTGCAACAGATAAAACAAATACATGATTCATTATTTTTTTAAAACAGAATGTTCTTGGATAATAGCTGCACTCAAGCTTTGAGAAATTGTTTATGGGAGAAAAACAGCCGCTAACAGTTAACAGTTGTCTGTATTTACAAAAACTTGCCTGCTCCCGAGCAAGTTTAGAGATTATATTCTTACATTATAATACAAAATATTGTTCATATTACATTATATTTTAAACAGATATGTAGTTACCTGGGTCCAGACCTTCGAATGTGTCCACTTCAATGAGTTTATAGTGACTGATTCTTCTGACAATGTAACATAAAACAGCAGTTTCTCAATGAGCGCTGCAGTGGGACTCAAGCAGCCAATCAGTGCCACGGGCAGGACTAACGCCACTGTCAAGCTGTTGTCAAGCTGTGCAACAAAACCAATAAGGAGTTGTGATGCCCCTCCCACCATCTTGGAGGATGTTCCAACCAACCTCATCAGGCAGTTGGTTGACATGGGAGGGCCGTTGCCTTGATTGAGCTCACCTGGGCCTTCTGAGCTATGAAAGCTGCCTCATGTTTTCACTTGAGGCTTTGAGACTTTGCTGACCTACACACTCAGAGTTAGTCTTAGTTTAATAAATTCTGGTTGTTTTTAACTAAATCTTTTGTTTGGACTCCCTACTTGTCACATTCACTGAGCCAGTTTGTGACAGGAGTAATAACGACAATGGCGAGCACTGTTACAAAAAGGACACTGCTATCGAGGCTGTTCTAAACCTACATGTCTGCTCAGTAACACCCAACATCATAGTTTGTTTTCGCTCCACTCTACTCTTCAAACTCCGGCAAAACAGTTATGTTGGCATGAATATGCATCAGTGTGGACTTAAAGTGAGGTTGCCAGTGATAGGTTAGGAAAAAATCAAATCCTCTTCCCCCACAGAAATTGGTTACAGTGGGCGCAATGTCAAACTGAAGACAAAAACAGAGTGAAACAACTTGACAGTTCTGTCTGGTACCTGGCAAAGTATGTAATACTGTAAATCCACAACATTCAAAAGCCAATAGAGTTGCAAACTCAAGTAAAGTAAAACAAGTGGCTCCTGAGGGAAACTTTACTCATTCTCAGCATATGTTTTTCCTCCCCTTGAGGGAATCAGTCACAAAAAAATATGTGAATAATGTCTAGATCCCAGGTGGCTGGGCTGGATACTTGCTCATGACTATGTTATACACCATGGACACTAATATATCATGCTCTCAGAGACAGACAGCCTTCAGAGAGACACCGGGCACCAATGCAACACCATAGTCATCACAAAACAATGTTGTTCTCCTGGCTTGTGTTTGTATTTTTCATCCTAAACACCACAAAAACATAGTTACTCATCGAGAAATGCAACATCCTGTTAAATGTCCTTCTTAAAGGTGGAGTTCTCAGCTGTACTGACTAACAACAAAAACACCCAACAACCAAATTATGTAAAAAGTGCTGGATGATTCGATGCCTGAGTGTCTTCCACACCTCCAACTTTTTGCCCAACTATCCCCTACAGTTTACTGAGTTGTTGTCAATGAGTGATACGACCTCACTAGCTGCACTCTGCCCTCCTTGCGTCCTCAATCCACCCTCTACGCTCAGCCTGTATCGGAGGTGTGACAACATCAGCATGAAGTTAGCAGCCTCCCAAAGGCCCCGATTGTCTCATCAACTTTCATCTGAACTCCGCCCAAGTCACTCCCTGGCCTGTGCCGTGCCTGGAGGCTGATAAACACACTGACACACACACACTTATGTGCACATTCTCTGACACAAAAAAAGTTCCTAGCAATCACCTGTTGATTAGGTTACAATGGCCATCTAGAGTTTGGAAATCTGATGTCACTGTGCATAAGGGGATGGAATGACAGCAGACTGTGTGTGTGTGTGTGTGTGTGTGTGTGTGTGTGTGTGTGTGTGTGTGTGTGTGTGTGTGTGTGTGTCTCAGACAAAGACAGAAGACAGGAAGCAACAAAGACAGAGCAGAAAGTGACAGGAGACAGGTTAAGTTGACTGAAAATGATAAACCTCTGAGTGAGACAGTGTTACACCAAAGCTGGGCAGGCACAGAGATCTAAACTAAGCTGGCTCAGTGACATAGTTGCTGAGAATGCTGTTTGACACGGGGTCCCTTTCTGTCTCTCCCTCCCTCCCTCCCTCTGTCTGTATGTCTGCCTGCCTGCCTGCCTGCCTATCTATCTATCTGTCTGCCTGCCTTTCATGTGGCCATTTTAGGAGACGTTGAGTCACCCAAGCCCAGCTGACAATATGACAGGAGCAACATTACTACACTTGGCTTGACAGCAGGGGAACTTATGAAACTCACCCTCTTAGAGAGATGGGGTTTATCTCGCTGTCTCAGTCTCTGCCTCTCTCCTTCCTTCCTCTGTTTCGTCTGGTGGCTGGATGGGTAACTCTGCTGGCCTTTTCTGTCTGTCCTCCTCTGTGCTTCTCTTTCCACTGGGTCAGGCTGCTCTCTCTCGCTCTCGACTCTCCGGTTTGCTGTCTGTCTTTACTTCCTTCCTCCTGAATAGGTGGTGTTGAGAAAGACAGAGATAAGTCAACTTGTTCTGCCTTCCTCTGCTTGTTTTGAGAGAAGGGCCTGGCAGCCTGCACTAGCTCTCTCTCTCTCTCTCTCTCTCTCTCTCTCTCTCTCTCTGTATTTTGTTTTCTTCCTGTCTACCTCTCTCTACCCTCAGTCACACACCAAATCTGAAAACCCATCAACAAGACTCACCCCTCACCCATCTCGTTCTTCCCTCCCTCTCCTTTTCTCTCTCCTGCTCCCCGCCCGCCCTCTTTCTTCCTTTCTCTCATTCGCGCCCCTCCAAAATATCTTGACTACAAAAGCCCCTTCACATGCTTGCGTTCCCCTTTCCCTCTCCTCCCATTCCTCCTCTTCCTCACCCTCTCTTCTCTTCCTCTATCCACTCACAGGCCCCTCCTTTCAACCCTTCCTCGCTACCCTACCCTACCCTCTCTGTCTTTCTCTCTATGTGTTTTCTTTCTGTCGTTTCCTCTCAGCTGATAGACCGAGGCGTGCTTTGCTCACTCAGCAGTGAAGGCATACAGGGGAAAGAAGGGGGGGTGGGTGGCGCTGACAGCCGATTGGCCACAGAAAAGGGGGGTCAGCTGTAGCGACTGAGGTCCTGATTGGCCGGGGGGAGGGAGTGAAAGGGGGGGAGGTGGAGAGGGTAACTAAAACTCCTCCCACCTGCTCCTGCTCGGCCTGTTCTGCAGAAGTATGAGACAGAAGAGCACTTTCCTCAAACAGTGTGTGTGTGTGTGTGTGTGTGTGTGTGTGTGTGTGTGTGTGTGTGTGTGTGTTAAATATGTGTCCTTGACAGCTTCAAGCATGTTTTGTGTGCAGTGTTTAACCTGTGTTATCTCTTCCCATAGTGTGCCAGACCCCAAGTTTGGTTGTGTGTCTGTGTGTGAGTTCAAAAACAACAGTACATAAAGAGGTTAATGCCACAGAGAATAAAGATGTAAATATCTATGCAAGTCCTTTGCCGTCTTTGTTCAGTCACACACAAAGGCACTCTGTGTGTAGCATGAAATGTACACGTGTACAAAGGCAGAGAGGGCTTATCTGCTGCTGGAGTACAGATAGAGAATGAAGTGCATGTGAAAAAGTTTATCAGCTGAGTACCAAGAGCAACCCTCAGCTGTTTGTGTGTGTGTGTATTTCGCCATCTGTGAGCTAATAAGGAGCAGCATGTTGACTAGGCAAGAACTATTTCGAACAGAGTGATGTGGTTAAAGTGCGCACAGTGCAAGCAAGTGCAACACACACTGGCGTGCTCGCTCTTAACCTCATGATCACACTCACACATGCACACACATTGCGGGTGGAGATTATAAAAGTTAAAGCACTGTGCACAAACAGACCTGAAGGTGTCATGCACACATATTTAGCAGCCGAGCTTCACCCAGCCCTTTTGTTACAGACACAAACACCCGATCGTGCTTTATCCTTATTTAGGGAACCGGGGTTGACTTGTTATCAGATGTGTGCTGGCTGAGACATGTGAGACAAACCTATTGATAGCTCCCTGTGTGTTTATGTTTTAGTCACTGTCTTTATCTGACTCCTGCTCAGTTTCCATCTGCGACTCCCTGCGTCTGTGCCCAGAACCAGTTTCTGCTGCTTCACTATATGCTGTAAGTTATCTCCATCATGCAGAAGGATGAAGGGGGCATGCAGCTTTTGGAGCTAGAGTTGAAGCTTTTCCTTAACCTAAGTCAATATTGTGTCATATGCTGTACAGATTGTAAAATCCTTCAACTTTAATGTGTGATTTGAAGTTGGAGTGCCTTATCTCAAAATAAGTAGGAATACAATATCTCATAATGATGGAATAACATAAGCACAGGCTCTTCCAGATGCATAAAACTGTCGTGTTGATTCTGAACTGCATTTAAAATATAATACAGATGGTGACATAGGGAGCATGTGGAGTTAGTAAGCGTTTAGCTGTTGTTATATGAACAATCCTTTTATGTAATACAATGCATATCCTTATTTGTGAGACTACACTTTATCTTAACTCCTTGCACTTCATTCAACAAGCAGCTGAACAGTCTAAGCACCAGTTTACTATGCTACACTATTAAATTTTTTATTCACCTGTGCAGTGGGTATTGTATATGGAGATTACAGCATTAAAATGTCCTGCTGTGGTTGCAATGCTCTCAAACAGTCTGTCTGTGTGTGTGTATTATTTTTATGATTGCTGAATCTGTCAATTATTTTCTTTATTAAAACATTAATCATATAGCCCAAAAACTGTTGGAAGACAGAGGGAAAATGTCTTATATTTTCTCAACTAACAGTTCAAAACCCAGAAAAATGTATTCAACTATCATTTAAGTCAAATAAAACATCAAATCCTGACATTTCAGAAGGAATGATTGAAAATGTTTGTTTGAAAATGGACTCAAACGATTAATCAATTATCAAAATTGTACTAGAATAAACCTCTGTAAATTAACTACTTGACTAACTGTTTCAACTTCACAAGCATGTAGATGGATGCACTTTGTATAGATATGCGTGAAAGTATGTCACAGTTGTTTTGGTGCGGGTGTGTGAACTGTAAAGCCAGTTGAGATGAGGTTTGGAAAAACAACACTGAACTTCAGCTTCGTACCTCCAAATATAGAGATGTGGGGATAGGGGAGAGAGGGGAGGGGGAGGCAGAAGGCGTAGAAGACACAGACAGCAAGATATAGAAAGAGGAAGATGAACTGACAGAGAGAAAAGGGCAGATTGCAGTGAGGCATGGTTTCTGTCGTAAAACTGACTTGGTTGCTGCTTTTAACTGCAAAGCCTGTAAAAACTGTAACAATGGGAAATTTCTGCTCATTTAGGATCTTGTGTTTCAACAGACACAAACACATGCTCTCAAACACTGTCCCTTTAAGAGCCCATGTTGCCTTCCATATTTGGAAAAAAGAGGTGTGTCTTCTCTGAGAAGACACCTCCTCCATTCAAGGGCTCTCTGAGTGCAGCTGAGGAAAAAGAAGCACTGAAAACACTCACTCATTCACATTCCATTAAACACACGCATTGATGCAATCATGACTTGAGAGCATGGCCGTGTTTGTTTTGATGTCTATGTCACAACGTTGGGGTTGGATTTTCAGTGATGGCATGTGAATACACTGCACGTTGACAATTGTGCATACCTTGTTTTTTCTGGGCCTCTCAAAGTGACACCAGCTGTGTTTTGGGGTTTTTTTACCCACCAGCACTAAACAGTCATAGCCTTCAGAAACTGAAAAGCTTCGATCGGACTCTACCAGCCCAAAACTTCCTCAAATAAATCATTTAGTCACAGTGTTAAGTAACCAGTTTTAAATATCAAAAACAAGGTCTAATACCCCCTCCTTCCCCGGGAGGAAGAGAACAAAAGGAGGAGAGGAAGAGGAAAGTGGAGGAAGGGTGGGAAAGGAAAGTGTGCATGTGTCGGTGTGCATGTGTGTGTGTGTGCTACTGAAAATGTGTAAAGAGCCATGGACCCCTGCATTTGTTGGCGTCTGTGTCTGTGGCATGCTCGAAAGTGTGTTATTAGTTCACACATGGAGACGTGTCTTTAAGAGGTGTACGTCTTCTCTCCAACAAGACAGTAAGGAGAGCGAGCTGCAGCCATGCAGCGGACATAAACAAGTCTCGGGTGTGTAGAAGCAAATTTCACAGCTGATATCTACAGATATTAGATATCAAAAACACTGATGCTTTGACTTGCTGGCTCAGATCCATTTGAATTTTGTGATGCAATATGTTTGGTTTTACAGCAACGTTTGAGGGGACTAGTATGCTGTAATAAGGTAGAAATATTGTAGGAAGGCTGGTGTTTACAGTGACAAACACCAGTGTATTAAACCAACTTTCTTGCCCCCTTTGGCCTGTCAAGCATAAATTCAAATTCCAAAATACATATTTTCCCTCTTTCCTGTAGTGCTACTTAACAATCTTGATTATTTTGGTGCTAGTTGCCGAGCTTTGGCGATATCAGCCACAGTGAAGTCTGCCTTCCCTTGAATATAATGGAACTAGATGGCACTCGTGAGCAGTTTAATGTAGTAACTATTTTCTTACTACCGAACTGCACCTGCCAACCGTATCACCGCCCAAAAGGGAAGTGTGCGTCTTCTCATGGACAAGAGGCTCGTGCTCGTGACAGTGCAACATTAAACGTTAATGTCTGTAAGGTTAGTCTGCTCAGCAGTACTACTCAGTGAGCTAGCAGTAGATGCACACTTCCCTCTGCGCAGGGATAAGGTTGGAGGATGTAGTTCAGTAGAGAGAAAACAGTTCCTACATGAAACTGCTCACAACAAGGTCTGTGGATTATCTTGAGTAACCGAGTCATGATTTCTGGAAAGAGGCATCGCTGTCGAGCGGCTGATATTTCCAACACTCAGCAACTCAAACCAAAATGGTCTAGATTGATAAATAGCACTACAGGTAAGAGGAAAATATGTGTTTTGGAATTGGGGGTAAACTGTCCGTTTACAGCAATTTTAAAACATTTGTAAAAATAAATATAACACCTTAAGTGCTTTATTGTAGGCAACTGGAGTTTCTTGAGTTTCTTGAAGACCTTTCACCTCTCATCCAAACTGAAGAAGCCTCTTGGATGAGAGGTTAAACGTCTTCAAGAAACTCAAGCAGGTTCAGTTGCCTATTCAGCTATTCTGCTAAGGTTTATATCCACAGTGTGCATTCAGAAGCTTTATGCATCCTTAAACTGAAAATAATAAGTCAGCTAAGGCCACTCAAAAACAATCCACTGAAAACAGAATCGTTTCTCATTTTCGTTTTGAAAAAAGGTCTGCGTTCAGACGACAACGATATGATACAGCACTTAAGATTACCATGACCTGGATGACTGAGAACCTTCACCAAAAAATATAACACCCTTTCCATTTTCAGTGCAAGCTTTCTTACTTTTACAGCACATGCTTTTTGTCTTAGTGTTCATTTTCTATTTTTAGCAGCCTCGGTTATTATGTGTCACCACATGGTAATAACATTAACTGCTTTCGGTTTTCAACATTTCAGCCTTTATTTCTCTGCAGGCCAGAGCGTCATGTGCATCCCACTTTCTCTCTGCAGACAACTGGATTTTTACAGTGGAACCGGATCTTTGAATAAGATGCTTATCTGCCAGTTTAACTGCTATAACCCCGACCAAAAACCCACAACCAAATCTTTACCAACATCAGATAACCAGTTCCTGCAGGCTTCCCACCCAGAGCGCTTGCTTTATATTTACATTTCTAGAGCACTGTAACAATCCAGTAAGATGAACTCTGTCTCTGTTTGACCAGCTGCCTGTTGATAAATAGATTTACAAAGCTGGAGAGAGACATGTCTATTTAAGGATAAGCATTTAACTTTAAAGTGTCAATTGATATTACAGTGTCTGATTAAATCTGGGTCTGACTGTTAGGTTTAAATCAGGCAGATGCAGCAAATAGACATTGCTGAACATAGACTTTAAGTTGGTCCATTTTAAACACTGGACTGTCCAAATAAAGCATTCCTGAAATAACTTCTGTTTGTTTTTCCATTACCAAATACGCCTCTCCATCCACTTCTGCAATAATTTCCACCATTCACTACTAGATTCTGCATGTGTGGAAATTTTTCTTTTGTGTATCCTATAAATCGGCTGCGGTGATTAAATTTCCTCACAGAAATGATTCATGTTTGGTGTAATCAAGTTAGATCCAGTGTAATTTACACCTCATGCTAATGTTATGCCATGACTAATATCTGATCCTTCCACTCACAGGAGTCGAAGTTTACTCTGCGATGCTTTTCAGGTATCTGGTCAGTAAGTTCGGACGAAACACTTCAAGTAAACAACCGAGTAATGACTGTAATGCACAAGGACAGAGGAGAGTGCACTGGGAAGAAATGCAGAGATGGGGAGGAGTGTGGCACCCTGAGTCTTGGTGACAGGCCGGGCCAGCTCAGAGGATGGAATGTTCCACAGAAATATGTTGCCTATTCATGGAGGACAGGAAATAAAGCCCTCTCTTTCTCTCTCCACCTATCCTCCCTTCCCTCCCAGTCCAACTCCTTCACCCCGAATCCAGCTGCCTGTCATTTTACCTCTCTCTCTGTCTCTTCACCTCACTCTCTGTGTCTATGTGTGTTTCTTTCTCTCCCCCCTTCTCCTGGCCTTTGGCGTTTTTTTTCCCCCTGTCCATCTTCCTTCAGTTCAAATCAATTCCTTTTCTCCCCGTTCATGCTTGGAGAACTCTCACAGCATGGCGGTGTTGCACCACTCAGACTGGTAACAGCTGAATGTGGTCCAGCCTGCCATCTGGGCATTGAAATGAAAAGAAAGAACATCACAGTCACTGCTGTAGCTCACTAATATCTGACCAGGGTATATCTTTACTATAACCAGATGACCATAGATTACAACAGCAGTTAGCTCACATATATTCACATTTATAGGTGTGTGACCACTTTGCAACAGAGGAAATGGGAAGGAAACAAAGCAAAACTTCACAATGACATAAAGGACAAGTGTGTACCTTAACTTAAATACAAGTGAAGAGTGCACACATGCATGTTTATAGTCACACACATACACAGAGAGCAGCTCATCCATTTTGGTCGGGGGGTTACAGGGTGAAGGGCAGAGAGGTCTGGCGAGGGTTAATCCTGAGATCAGTCCAACACAAACACACACACACACACACACACACACACACACACGCTTGCAGTCGTTAAGCAGCAGTTAATAATACTACTACAAGAGTTGTTACTCTGTGTTTGAGCCCTATGACGAGGCTGTACACACTCTATATATGAAGTTACTAACATGCATCCAAATCAAAATAGGCAACCGGACAAAAAACAAGCAACCTAAATGACTTGGACATGGGCTGTTTTCCTTTGTATGAAAGCCTCCAATGTATCACGTTACATGCAAACACCTTTCAGTTTAATGTCAACATGTTTCTCTGCATAAAATATGATACTGACACTCTGATTTAGCAAACATCCAATTCAAGCTGCACACAAACCACATTAACTACAAATGCCAACCACTGTGGGTGCTAGAGAAACAGTCAGGGCATCACCAAGGGCACTAGGACACTGTGCATCATCTGGTAACCACATAAATGTTTTGCTAATCTATGTAGCAGATGTTGCAATACTTCAAAGGCTGTGTTGAAGAAATTCATACTAACATGCTTTTTAGTAGGATAAAAAAGTATGTGAGATTTTTTTTATATGTGCGAAACCAATACCATGTGAATTTTGTACTATTTCAGGTGAAATATTAAACACTGGACACTTTGCAGGCCTAAATATCCCTCAGTGCAAAGCGGTGGAGGACAACACTAATAATGGACAGCGACCAAGACAGCTCTATGACATCAGTAACACTTCCATTTAAGTGTAAGTATTACTTTGCTAGGCGTAATATAGTTTTAAAATTGTTTTTAAATTAATGGTAGAGCTGAGGTTGTTACTGATTACCATGGTAACACGTCTCCAAATGCTCTGACAAAGTGAAGTGGTAATTACTTCTCAGTGCTCATACTGGGTAGGTAGCGTATATGATTTCAGACATGGTGACAGGCTGAAAGTGAAAATTTTGACCTGCTAGCAGCACTCCATTAAAAGTGTCAGGGCTTCACCAGAGTCATTAGGATTCATCCTCTCGGCATTATGGATATATGTAGCAAATTTCAAGGGAATTCATTCAATAGTGGTGGGTGGACCAACCAACACTGCCATCTCTATGGCGCTAGCAGGTTAACGAGGCTGACATACTCCATTAATTTCTTAATTACCTACCTCTGACTTCAACAGTCAGTTCAACTGAGACAATAAGCCATTATATTCATAATGATCCCCCATGATCATTACAGTATGTAAAGCACTGCCACTATGAAGTTTCCCATAATATATCAACAAAATAACGATTAAAAAAATATTCTTGTTCACCTTAATGATACATGTAATGATGCCTGATGACAAGTTGTTCACACTGCCAGATTAATCTTGTGCAATAGCTTGTCACTGGACACTCGACCCTGCATACAGCACGCTGATCATAATCTGACATTGTGTAAAGGGTCATTTCTTCAGCCCATCTGGCGACTGCCTCTCAACAGTGTCATGACACTAATGGTTTCCTCTGCTTGTTACACTGGGCCACAAACAAAAGAGATCCTGCCAAGGACTCAGATCAGAGCGGTTTGGACAGAAACGCTCAGCTGTTTCCTGTCTCTGATGAGATGCACAAGATGGGCCAGGCGCATGAACGCACACACACACAAACACACAAACATTTACAGCACACTGATGAAAACCAAAACTGTGAGTATACAAATAAAAACACAGATATGCCCCAGTGATAAACAAAAGGCTTCAGGGCTCTACTTCTCACTGTGTTACTCTTAGGCTTTGTGGAAAACAAACAAACAAACACACACACACACTCGCACACACTCTTTGAAAGTGCACACCACAGCTTTAAAACTCTTTGGGAGGACATGAGATGTACTAATCTCAGGCCTGCAGGAAATACACAACTGTATGTGTGTTCTTTTAATATGAGTAAAAAACATTACAGGGCGACTGACTGTTTCAGCTTTCAGTGAGTCCAAATATACAAATCCAGCACATAAAATATCATTAATCAATATCCAAGAGTGGTTATCACTGTTACCCAGAGGGAAATGTTTTTTCATTCTGTGTGAAAGTCAATTTAAGTGACAAATGATGCATGCAAAGGCCCAGGCCTGTCACACACACTCAGCCTCTACAAGATGGAGAGATGGGGGGGAAGAGGCAGCGCAGAGAGACGGGAGGGCTTTGATGCTGGGCGAAGGGAACGAGACAAATGACAACGTATTGTAGAGTAATGGACAGAGGGAGCAAGACAAGGACGAGAGGGAGAGGGGCAGAGAGTGGACAGGTCTTAGCTTGATAAGCTCTGTGTTGACCTATATAATGCATGGAGATACATCTGCCTTCCAACATCTACTCGTTGTTTCTGGAGCTTGTATGAAGCCATATCAACAGACTATCTGGCAACATGTGTCGAATTATATTTAGCTTGTATATGTGTATGCTAAGTCATTCATTCGGATCAAGTATAAGTCTCAACCCACTTACTAACCAACACTGGATTTTTGACATCTTTCATGTTTGTTACAACAGCTCAAAATACACACATTGCAGGCTTTAAAAACAAATATCAAACTAGTTTTTCTTGGTGCAAGCTTCCACTATCCACCTAGATATTTCAGTTTCCAAATGTGTGCATTTGTGTGGACATTGTGGCCCTGTTGCCAACTAGGACTGCAAGACAGTATTGACTAATCTGTCAATTATTTTCAAAAAAATCCTCCCAGAGCCCCAGGTGACATTTTCGGTGACATAGTTTGTTTTGCCCAACCAACAGATAGATTCAGTTTAAGATTATACCAAATTGCTAAAAAAAAATGCTATCCCTGTCTTTTGAGGAGCTTGAAGAGTAAAATTAGGGCTGTGACTAACAATTACTGTCATCCAGGTTTTGGGGGCGGCTGTGGCTCTGGAGGTAGAGCGGGTCATCCACTAATCAGAAGCTCAACGATTCGATCCCTGGCTCCTCCAGTCTGCATGTCAAAGTATCCTTGAGCAAGCTACTGAACCCCAAATTGCTCCCGATGGCTGTTCCATTGGTGCGTGTAAAACTGTGTAGCAGGTGGCACATTGTAAGGTAGCCTTGACCTCCAGTGTGTGAATGGATGAATGTGACTTGTAGTGTAATAAGTGCTTTGAGTGGTTGGAAGACTAGAAAGGGGCTACACAAGTGCTGGTCCATTTAAAGCTGTTAACATTTGGTAACTGGTAACTTTTATTATAAAATAAAAACATACGCCTTGTAGCGTTTTTTATGGCATTACTGCACATGGATGAAAACAACCAATCAGAGCTAAGATGTCTACTACGCAACTTTCAGTCTAAAAGGTTATCAGAAACATGTTTTAGTGTACTGTTTAGCTATGAAATTAAAAAGTTTGTGACCAAGCCGCCATATTGGAAACAGTTGAGCTGGAAACTCAGCACTGCCTACCAGCTGCCAGATCAACTTTCTCTATTTACAGCTAAACAGTACACTAAATTTTGTTTCTGAAAACATCGAAGGTGAGAAATAGGCAATGGAGTAACAGACCCTTGATTCATATTTGAGCAATGATTGACATAATTGACAGCTGTGTTACAGATTCCTCGGCTCTGATTGGATGTTTCCTGCAAGCCACGGTAGATATTAGCAACTGCCATGTTGCTCCTCTCACGAGGAGAAGGAGGAACAGTATTTTTTTTTACAGACTCATTCTCATATTCACTCGTGTCTCGTGACGATAGTAACAGTTTCATCTAATATGACACAAAGTCATTCTAATAAAATTTACCAACCGTATTTTAAAATAGTGAAAATGGCATTTCACGTCACAGAGCCCAATGTCATGTCAACAAATTGCTTGTTATCCCCACTTTTCAACACTTAAAAAGCTAAAAAAATATTCAGTTTACTATTGAGTAAGACAAAGAAAGACAGCAAATCCTCACAATTGAGAGGCTGGTATTAATAATTAATTATAATAATTAATTGATAATAAAAATAGTTACTGATTCTTTTCTGGTGACTGAGTAATAATTGATTGACTTATTGAATATCTGGCATTTTTTTCTTTATAAATGACTTAAATGTACATTCACAAGCTCTGCTAGCAAAGTCAAAGACAGCCAGAGCTAAAACTCTCACACACCCACGCTGTACAGAACTGGATATCACAGCACTCTGTCTCTCAGGGTGTAATGTCAGACCATGTTGATTTATTCAAGAGGTGGTACAGTCGCCTTGCCATCCTCTTCTCCCGCTCTGTAGTGAGTTGTGTTTGAATAAAGTTGAGCAGACTGCTACTATAGAGGGAGCCACCAAGCAACCAAAACAAAGATGGAGCACTTGACAGGAGATAAAATTCCAGACTGAATCTCAAAGGGTGTGATCCTGGATTCCAACCATTAATAAAACCTGAGTGTTTTTTTTTTAGTTCTCACATACACAAGACAGTAATCGATATTGGCTAGTTTTCAGCAATTAGCTTTTAGCCAGTTCTTTATATTTCCACTCTGCAGGTATTCTCCTCCTGCACTGGTCCTCATCGGGGTGATACGTGCTGAAACATCAATTCAAATAAAAACTAAAACCTTTTCGGCAGCTCCAGCATGTAACATCCACTCTCTGCAAGGTCAATGAGACGCAACCTTAAAATAATAATACTGAAGTGGGCTGATGGAGCCTCTTAGATTGGACTCAGAAGTATTACACTGAGTTTCTCAAATTAATTAAATCCTTAAAAATACAGCTAAGCTGACCGCCTCATTATTTTGTCAATAAACTTAGACCTGCCATCATATTAAAAACAGTCTCCCTTTGCCTACTTCTTCCAAGCATCCTTGAATTCATTGACATTCCCCTCAGTGACGTATAAATAGCTAATCTATTAACCACAGTAAGTCAATGCTGAGAGTCACAAACACATGGAATCTGCAGGTTTGTAAGAGGACTACCTAGTTTCTGGTATTGACAGACTGTTAAGTGGACTAACTGACCTTTAATGGTAAGCCTGGAGCCAGGTTTATTTAGTGTGTGTATGTGGAAAGACCCAAGATGCAGGTTGTGAGGTTAACGTGGTACAAGTCAAAGCCACACAGGTGCTATTTTAGGAATAAGCTCTTATTAAGAACAAGAGAATAAGATTTGAAACCTGCATTTAAACACATCACAATGACTTTATCTCCTGGCAACAGCCTTTTGCACAAGTGACATCCAAAATAATGTCTTCAGTCTGGAGGCTGTCTTTTATGTGTCTTGAGTGTGAGGACATTTGGTTATCAGGGAGGGAAATAAATACATACAGTTGCCCTCTGACCTGTCCTCTTGTTAATTTTATCTTTGATCTCAACCTGCCTCTGCTCTGTCCCTGGCTAGGCTGAGTGAGGTTTAACAGCATCACCACTGCAGCAGACCCAGGGCTGGGAACCCAGAGGGGGTCATGATGTGATGCATAGACTGTAAAACTTTTACTAAAACATCTACTAATGCCATATACTGCCTTTAATCTGTGTGATATATGTCATAATCTTAAAAATAGATGCACTATTTTAGCCACTGGGCTTCCACAATAAATCAAGTAAGATAAATAAGATCTTTTCAGTGTCACGATTTAACAGCCAGTGTAGCGCAAAAGGGGCATGTGAATAAAAGGAGCTTTATTTTTTAGCAGCACTGGTAGATCAACATGATTTCTATATAGAAGGGAAAACTACATTAGGTAGAAGCTATTAATTCAAGTATATTATATTCTATTTTAGGACAAGAGAGACATTGTTCTGTGTCAGTCTACCAGTCAGAACTGGTTCTTTGGTGATGGCTTGAGGCTAGATATTCAAAAAACATACATTCACAGTGACATACATATGCTTGTACAATTACATTTGCCATTAGTAATTATTTATCTTATTCTAAAATCTAACATGTACTGGTTAAATAGCTCTTTATTTAAAAGAGGTAATTTAATTCTCATAAGGATGCAAGTGCAGTGCACACACGTGCACGCGCACACACTAGAGATCAATATAGCCCAGAGCAGTGTTGAGTACTGGATCTAACCCACATAATCATCTGTAATCTCTGACATCAAATCCTGCAGAGACACATTGGAGGGCTGACAACAAGCCTTGATCAGCTCAAAGCGTTTAATAGCCACCCCCACTTTCCACACACACGTACAAAGCGCTGCCAGGTTCAGATGCTAAAAAGGAGAATTGCAACATTGAACCATAGCCACCCCGTCAGATATCCATAAGAAGTACAAAAGGTGTTTTTCATTTGTTCAAATGCAGGGCTGGGTGCACAGAGGACCACAGGATGAATGGTGTCCCTTAACTTGGAGTCCTTAATGTCAGATTATCAGATGAACTAAATAAAATGGTGTACAGTTGCTGAGCTGCAGGCCAGGTAAGAAGAGCTGCTTGCAGGCCAATGTTTGACAGAGGCTGTAACACTGTTAGTCGAGGCCTAATCTATTCAGGCAGAATCATAAACTGGGCTCTTACAGCATTACAAGCCTCAAGTTAGTGTTTTACTCGTCTAAATAGCCTAACTAGATACTGATGGCTCCAGATATTACCCTGAGAAAACACACAGCATGGCCACTCGTGACCTCAGTCTTTCTGAACTCGATGTACTTGGCTGGGCAGGAAGTATAGGAGCCTAATATATTTGCCAAGGTTGATCACATTAGTTGTACATTTTGCAGCAAGCAAACAGACCAGCCATCACTGGGGATTCCAGGCGAGGTTTTTCTTCCATGCTAGAAACGTCCCACACTCTGATTGCGCCCTCCATTCATTTCCTTTTGATGTGAGAGGATTTTCTAAGTTCCTTTGTTTCACCTGAATAGACTGAATTATTTCCTTCTCTTTTACTTTTGTGTGTTTTAGCATTTGGGAACTTAAGTCAAAGAGTGACTGTGCACGGGGCAAGCCCAGACCCAGGCCTGCTGAACAACATGCACCTCGCCTTCAGGGTTGGTTACAGCAGATCTGCATGACGTCACACTCAGCTGAGGACAAAGCCCACTGGTTTCTCCCAGACAGAGAGGTGGGGGGTGGCTGTCAGAGCAACGCAAGGACAAGCAAGAGAGGGAGAAAAATGTCGACTTATTGCAGATGGATTTGCTGCAGCAACGTGTCTGTGTGTGTGTATGTGTGTCTGTGTGTATGCATGCAGAACTCCCCCATTTACATACATGTGAGACAGCTGATGGAATCCCACATGCACGTGTGCTGCATGGGTGATGCAGAGTGAGTGTGACTACTTGTGCCTAATGTGTATGTCAATGCCATCCTGCCCTGCTCGCCAGGACAATGGGAGGCTGTGCAGCTCAGCATAATTACACTGTAAAAACTGACTCTACTCTTATATATTTTATATGTAACAAGGGTTTAGTGCCAACATGAATGCTCCCTTCACTGCAGGATCCAATGCAACTCCCAAGTGCAATCTAAGGGGAACAATACACCCATTGCACTCAGGGCTCTCTCTTGTAAGCTTTAGTCATCATCATCATCATCATCATCACTCCATCCACTAAGCTACAGTCATAATCTCACATATATATTTATATGTGAGATTGTATAGCTAGATGTTGATCCCTCCTTCTTGCACAGCCCATATATGCACAATGCAAGGAGGCCATGCAGTTATCACAATATCAAATATTTGCACATGCATTTTGATTAGACACACACACACACAGACGCACACACATACACATGATGGTAAATATTACATTAGGATTTTCATCACTTGGTCCCTAACCACCGCAGACTGCATGCACGTACGCGCACACACCTAGAGAAAGAGTGAGGAAGGCAGACAAAGCAGGGGAACGCCCCCTACACCCTGCAAGCTACTGTCAGGTCATCAACTGGCTTAGGCTGGATTCCAATCATTCTTTTACTCAGATTAATTAAGACAATGATAAATATGACGACCTGCATGTGTAGAGTGCAAACATTTACCTGCAAGCAAACAGGAATTGCTAAATAAACCTGTGCTATTTCCATCCTTTCATTAAAGTTCACACAATGCAGAAGATTAAAAGCTAGCTAGCCTGATTTTCAAGATTTTAAAGCCTACTTACGGTACAACAAAGGTGGACTCAGGAAGGAAAAAAACAGTCTGGCAGCTTGAACTGACGCGTCCCTGTCGTCTGGGAGTTTGGCCTTTTTGTTATCTCTGTGCCGTGTTGACTGCTGCGTTGTCGCATTCCAGGTAGCTAACGTTTCAGGGCGAGAATTGACTTCGAAGCTAAAAGCCGTTAGCAGCCGTTAGCTGGATGTCAGACGGGTAAAATAATCGGACAGTTTGAGTCTCGTCCTCCCACTCAGTCCTGCCACATAGCTCGCTTGCTGGCTGACTACGTCCCTTCCTCTCTGTGCCTGTCTTTTTTTGTGCTCGCAGCTGTTTTCGTTGTTTCAACCTTTGCCTGAAATTCCTCCTCTGTCCCTTTAAGCGACAGCGTTTCCGGGGTTCGCTCGTTGATATGCAGGGGGCGGGGCTTCACGGCCAGCTGAGCGCCTGTCATTTAAGCGATTGGCTGCTTCAGCTCCGTGCGACCAATCAGCGCTCGGTGGTGACGCTTGCTTTAATATATGCAGATTTATTCAGAAATAGCCGTGTCCGTGATTGGCCGGTGGATTAATCTAGGAACCGCCCAGTACACGTGCTTTTTCTCCCCTCCCATTCTTTAGTGGGAAGGATAGCTGCTGTGTTGGAGCTCTGGCTGTCAATAAATCCTCTAATACTTAACAGAAAACTAAACCACGATCCGATATAAGAGCAAAAGCTTTATATAATGATTCAGCACATTAATTTGTGGTAAAATAATTTACGGCAACGATTAAATTCGCAGTCTAATGTACACACGGCAACCCCTTTTTAATCCGTTTGTATTGAATCAGCCATAGCCGTGTTGTCACACAGCTAAGAATAGATCAGCTACACGTTGTATTCCCATATTGCCTTGCAGCTGCACCGAGCTCCACGCCCATCTACCCAGTGCACACTGGGTCCTGATTATACCTTGCTGTGGAGGGGAGGAGGAGGCCTGTGCAGATAAAAAGAAGGGCCGATTGTAAACTCAGGGAGTGCAATGAAGGATATTGCATTCACTGCTGCTGACCATTCATCCATCTCTGTGGTGATGTTCCTCTTTGGCAATGCAGCCCCTGCATATTTCACACAGTCATTGCAAAATCAGCTCTTCGTATTTCTTTTTAATCATAGATATGTCATGCTGCATGATATATTGCAGGAGATTAGAGGGGCCTATATCTATCACATAATTAAGCACCACAAAATTCTGCATTATCAAAACAATGCACAATGCCTTATGTAACATAGATGCAAATATCTTTTTTAAGTGGCAAATCAAGAATACATTCATGCCCAGTTCAGGCTGTAGTGTGCACCAACACACTTGTGACAGATTCTTGCTCGTATCCTCCCACCTGGTGTCCATTTGTTTGAGATGTCCAGATACCATCATATTTTTAATTTGTTACCCAGCAATCTTTATTTAGCCTCTAGAAACCAGAAATGTCAGAGTGTCAGTGTCCCTGCACACCACTGAAAGCTTTGCTCACAGAAACTAACTTCCTTCTTTCAGCGATGGTGGAAGGTGGAACTTCAATTTTAGAGAGCACTGAATATAAAATATTGATTCTATGGAGACAAAAGATTTATGATACACTTTAACTGATTGTTTTCACATTATATTTTATGACATCTCAGAATGAGAAGCATTTGCGTTTACAGTCTTTAAACCTTTTCCAGTAATTCATCACGCAACATGATCTTAAGAGGGAAATGAAAGCTCATCTCTTGGTTGAACAGGTTCACTACACAAAAGAGACGTGTTCATTGTTGGAGGTCAAGAACTGCTGCTCCAATTATGTGTAGTGCCATTTAGGGCTGTTTGCAAAATAATACTGACAGGCCAGAATCTGAGAGAGACAAAACACTCAGCTCTTCATTATTCAACAATACTGTATTTTATGCCTTGAAATGGATGCTGCAGTTTATATTTTTACCATGTCATCTAAACGTTTGCACCAACATCTTGCTTTTATGTTATTTCCTCTCTCTTTCACACAGATGTCTTTGTTAGTTGAGTGGCAGGCGCCCCCTGCTGTTCACTGTTCAGAACAGTCACAATGTCTTCTCAAAGAGCTTTGTTTGAACCAGAAAACTGCTCATAAGAATCTTGGACTTGCTGTGAGAGTCTGGGCAGTAAAAAAATCTTAATAATAAAATCGATTCTCGCTGGTGACTTTCATAGAAGTTACTGATTTCCAGTTGATTAAATAGAGCAGGTCAGTGATGCAGCACCAATTTGGTTTAAATCTTTGAGTGTGCAGCTGGGTGTTGAGTGAATGTACACATTTCAATTGATAAATTATTTTGGAAATAGTGTTGTGAAGCTGGACCATGCAGTTTTTATTCACAAAAGCAGTTATCAAAGGTAATTTCCTGACATAAATATATCAAAGTGGCACTGCTAATGTACTAAGTTAATATCTAAACTGCAAACTTTCTAAATTCTGTTATCAAAGAAGGTAACACACAGACGCTAATGTTTGGTAGAGGACTACAGTGGGGATCGAGTCAGCTTAAGCACTTCAACCAAGTGAAACTCATCATAGACAGTATAAAACCTCATTCACATCTTGCAAACTATATACACTCCCTCACTCATGAATTCTCACACACCATATTCAGTTTTAAGTGTTGTCAGAATTTGTCAGCTGTTCAGTCGTCTTTGCTTTCTTTGAACCCTCTGTGCCGTGCTCCCTCTTCCTCTTCTGTCGGCTCTTCTGCCCTTCCTCTTGTCGGAACTGGTGCCTGATGAAAAGAAGTCCGCATGCAGAAACCAATGACGTTAATTTACCGAGCTGAAAATTAAATATAATGTGCCATTTTAATGTTTTGGCCAGTGACAACACATGAAAATTAGCCTTTTAGGTAAAGTCTGGCTCATATACTAATGAAATCGGATGCCTGCTGCTTACAGTCTGGCACCTGGTCGCTACCTTTTTACAAAGTCCTGACTTCACCTGAGCGCTGTGGGGGTACACACCCAGAAACACCTCGAACTCAGATGATAAGAAAACACAGGCAGAGGGCAGAGTCTCTGCAGAAAAATACACCACCACACACTTCAAGTGCGTCATAAGTGATGATTCAGAGTGATTACTTATTTTTTAAGGAATGTCCTGCACAGTATATCTTTAAATTTGGGCCACTTTCTTTAGCAAGACTTAAAACACTATTGGGATACTAAAAAATGCAACTGATTTTGCTGCTGCCATAACGACCACTTATAAATCCCAATAGTGTGGAGGTTGTGTCTAGCTAGCGAAATGAAGACATGATGTTTTCCATTGGCTGTCAGCCAACATATGCCGACGTCAATGTACAACTTACAATCTAAGGCAATCAGTCGGCTCCTTGTAGATAAATGTCGGTATGCAGAGTGCTAACAGTCTCTCTTCTATACTATCTAGATCTAAATATTTAGTTTGTACTTTAACACATTACTCAGCTTACATCCCGAGAGATACCGCTTGCGGCTGTATGAATAAATAATGAGGTGTTGCATATGTATCCAAATATTTTCCAGTTAGGAAGCAGGCAAACTGGAGTGTGGTTTTTTAAAAGAAATGGAAGAGGGAGCGTTAAAAAAGCAAAACACATCAGAGATATTGCACCGCCAAAAAGAATCATAAAAAAAAAAACTTGACCCTCATAAATAATATCTGAATTAACTATCATAACCCAAACTGCTGAAACAGGTTTCTATGCATAATGATGATCATCTACCAAAGTGGCTGGTTGATACAAGGCAAAGATATTTTACATGCTATGATCTCAGCTCTGTCCACATACACAAACGCAGGATATCGAACCTTAACATAAGGCCTGTATGTGTGTATGAAATGCATTCAAATGCTTGAGACGGAGTGAGAAGACTTGGTTTATAGTCACATTATCATTTATCGTCTCAGGTGCAGTGACGAGTGTCGTGATGTGATCTTACCTGGACTGCCAGCGTCGGCCGCTGTTCCACACCCTACCAAACGATGGAAGCCAGTTGGCATCTGTATGTGAGCTGTGATCAAAGTTGGCGCCCACTCTGTTTGGGGGAAGCTTCCTCAGTTTCTCTTGCTCCTCTGGCAAAAGATATATGAGGTCATTTTAATTATACTCTAATATTTGTGAGATTTTTATGGTTTTCCTTAAGAGGGACAGTTCAGCCAAAAAACAAAAATGCTAATGCCAAGTGTTGGAGGGACATTAGTTTACAATATGTGTGTGTGTGATTCCTACTCTGTTTGAGGAACTCTTGGAACGATGGACCGATCTCTGGATGTGCTGCAGCTCCAGAGGTCCCCTCTAGAGGATCATCCTGGAGCCAAGGAGGGACAGCACCTACGACACAGAGGCCATGTGTTCATTACATTTGCCAAAGAGGTGGCAGCTCTCATATTCCAGGTGGAGAGCCAACACACAGACAGCAGTCAGAGGATTAAACATTAAAACATTGAATTAAATGATTATAATTTTCATTTTATTTTGATATATTTATCATCTACTACCCACAATCCAGCCCGCATGTTTTACCTTCTACCTTTCTCTGTTTTACCGTAAACTGAACCTATAAATTCATATATCACTGTACCTGTATGAACGTTTCCACTGTTTGATGAATCCTGTAACAGAGGCAAGAAGTGGTCAAGTGAGGTGGTGTCCTTTTGTGTAACATAAAAAAACAATTATGAGACTTGAACTCTTTGTTAATCAGAGCTGTTCGTCTACCTGATAGCCAATGAAAGTCAGGCCTTGTCCTGTGTCAGCCCACGGTGCCTCAACCATTGACTCAACGTAGCTGCTCCCCACCTGCTGGTCTGACCCCTGAGACTTAAATTGAGAGCTGTTCCCCAGACAACGAGATGAGCCACAAAACAACAAAAGTCATTTCAAGTGCGACTGATGATACAATGATGAAAGGATAAGATGTGGTATGTAGACACAGTGTTACCTGACAGCGTCCTCAGCAGACATGTCTGTGCCGTTGGGTCCATTGAACAACTCCGGCTCTGCCTCACGCTGACATTGATTCAGGAAAAGCCAACAGTGTTTCACAGAGGAAGTCTGAGCACTAATCATACTTCATGTCATATTTTCTTCATCACAGTCCTCACACACTGCTGTGCCCCAAATCTTAACATAACCCCCTCTCTATTCACCTCTTTGTTTTTCTCTTACAACTTCAGTACATTTTCATCATCTTCATCTCGCTCTGGATCTAAAAAGCTTTATTAATTTTTACTAGAGCCTGATGAGGAAAAATATTGTCTCTCTAAACTACCTAAACTACCAAATACAAGAACTCATCAGCCACAATTTTAGAGTTACACAACCTAACCAACACACATTTCCAGAGGATCACTAGTCACCTCCTATTGCAGTTACAATCATTTAGCTGGAGAGTGGTGGTATTTCCCATCTTACATGTAACTCAAAGTCATACCATCATAGAAACAACACAGTGATGGATACTGCCACTGCATCCTTGGAAAACAAACCTCTAAAAGAGACTGAAGGACCTCTTGACGCTGCTTCTCTTGGGCCCGGATGTAATCGGCTTGCTACAGTCATGAAAAGAAAAACAAGAGTAAAAACAGATCAAAATTAACAGATTTCAATCCTGGTTAATCCTTGGGACACTTCTTAGCCATGCAAGAAAAACATGGCTCTAGTGATGGCATGTTGGTTTGGTACACATATTCATTGTCCACCTATAGTGTTCCTTTGAGTTTTCCTCTTGTGCCATCAGCAGGTAAAAGTTCAACATCTACTGGACTGATTGGCATATAGTTTGATACATATACCCATGGTGCCAGGACAATCTATCTTAGGGACTTAATGACATTTATCCTCTGACTTTTTCTTTAGCACCACTGTAAGGCTGACAGTTATGGTTTTGAATTAAATGTCTTAACTACTGGATGGACTGCCATTAAATTTGATACACACAATCATATCCCTCTCAGGATGAATTGTAAAAATGCTGGTGATCTCCTTTTTTTTAATATTTTGAGTGATTTTTACCTGTTTAATGAATTCATCCTCCTTCTCCACAAATGATTCCAATGCATTTGCCACCTCAGCTTTAAACCTAAACAAAAACAAACAATTATCCATGCAGACATTTTATTTTGCAAACAAACTTTACTAATAAAGATTTTTGTTTCACCAGGCTTACCTTTCCGTTTCCTCCTCTGTGATGATGACCTTGTCTCTAAACTTTGGGTCGGCCTTATTCTCCCACCAGAACTTATGAGTATTCTTCCTGTGTTCTGAGCTGAAACCAGACACATGTGAAAATGTTAAAAGAAAAAACAGCTCATCACAAAAAAATATGAGACTTTTTTCAAGCCTACAGACATTTGACAATATACGTGTTAGTCTGGGCAACATAAGCTGCATTTTAATTTTAGTACAAGCACAAAACTGCAAGTCAGGATTACAAAAACAATCTTCTGAAGTTTTTTGTTTAAGGCAGAACACAGAGAACATAAAAGATGATATCCCAAGACTATTCCCTGCAGTTTAATTGCTTCCTTGTCACAAAAGTGTATTATGGGTGCTTTAAATAACATTTTATAACGACGGCAGATTTATGATGTTTGTTTTAATTAAAATGTTCTATGTCTTAAGTCAAATCTGTTTTACAAATATGGCAGTCAATATAAATGTCATAAATGTCTTGTTGGGCTTTCCCATTTTTGACCTTGACTTACGGCATTTTTTCATTAGCCTAATGAAGCAGTAAGCAAAACATGTTGCTCATGATGATCTCAATCAAAAGATCTTTGATCATGTACTTTTAAAGGACACAACTTACAGACCACTTGCCTTGTTATGTTTTATTTTTACAATATTCTTATTGCTGGTCATTGATGCTATTTATATATACTTACATACTACTTATACAGACACATACTTTTATTTACCCAGCTTCGTTGTTCTTGTTTTTAGCTTTTATGTCTATTTCTGTGTAAATTCATTGGGAGCGATTCAAAAAGCAAGTCAAATTCCTTATATGTGCACACATACTTGCCCGATAAAGATAATTCTGATATGCAATCACCAAGATGAACACAAGTTCTATATATCATTCTATTTGCTGATGATATGTCTACAACCTGGGGTGCTGTGTTGCACATCCTGAGGTTGTTGTGGGTGGATGTGAACCAGGGCATCAGTAAAAACAAGATAAATAAAATATAACTTACGTGGCCATGTGCTCTAACAAGCCTCCATACAACACAGTCATGTTGCCATCTGTGACATTTCGTTCAACTTCAAGCCCACAGCAGTAGCACCAGAATGTCTGCTTGTGCTGGGTGCAGTCAAACTTCTCTACTTGGGGTTTTTTAAGTGTCCGACGAGCTTCCTTCACCTGAGAGACAGTACATAAACACAGGAAACACAAAAGTTACACTCTGATTAAAACCGATGATACCTTAAACGCATCACTCAAAATGTGACACAACATCATTTTGATCGTGATGACGGTTTGCAGCTAACGTTAGCATCTTAGCAAGTACAGGCGAGTTCATTGAGGTAGAAGGAAAAACGTTAAACGTCAGTATACATCAACTGACATGTAGCTACGTACCTTTTCTAAGAATTTAAGAAGAACCACTCTGAGTCTGCTTTGATGATTCTTCCCGAAGATATGTCCCTTGCCGTTAAATGTTGTTTGCCTACATATAGCGCAGTAATGCGCACCCATTTAGACAGTTTGAAAACCCCTGAATTATGCAAAAGCTAAAGTGACGCAGCCTTGAACCGAAACCAAACGTTTCGATTCATTTTCTTGTCTACTTTTCTTCTATTTAACGTTACTCAAACCAAACACGCCCAGCAATCTGCTACCGGATGTCATGCCGCGTCAATACGTTTCCCTTCCGGAAGTTGTTAAACTGTCCGACATAGTTCCGACTCTAGTGCTAATTCATATTTTGAGGACATGTTGCTTAATTCCAGAGCTTTTTCCCTACATGTTGGAATAGTAATGAAAATATTTGTTACGTTTTCCTCCGTATTTTATTGTTAGCGTTACGTTTTCTTGGATGAGTTTATCGTTATCCGGTTCCGCTGCCGGAACTTTTCCGTGTGACGCCCACCGGAAGTAAACAATGCAAACGCTAATGGGGTTAGCTATATGCATATATTGAGTTAGCTGGGAGACGATATTGCCCAGGACATTGTTTAATTTGTAATTAAGCAACAATGTCGTCAGTTGAGCATTTGAGGAGATTTGTCAACGAGCGACTAACTGCTGCTGCTGAAGAAATATTTGGAGTTTTTAAGAAGACTATCGTCGCGTATGAGGAAGAAATCAACCGTCAGCGCAGACTGTTGGACATCGTATGGAACCCTGAAATAAAGTTACTCAGAATAGGTATGTCAACAACTTTGTAGTATATAAAACTAGTATATATTGTTTAAATATATACTAACACTTATTTGCATGTCTGCATTTTTCTCTACCATCGCAGTGGTATCCTCTTCCTCTTTCTTTTTTTGTGTCCCCTCCAGAGCTCCCACAGCATCAGGTCGGTATGAAGGAGGATGTTCTCGCTGACCAGCAGGACCCAGAGCCTCCACAGATTAAAGAGGAACTGGAGGAACTCTGCACCAGTCCGGAGGGAGAGCAGCTTGAACTGAAGCAAGAGACTGACACCCTTATCTTGACACCTACATCAGAGGGAAATGACCACAGTGAAGCTCAGTCTCTGTATTTTCCTCCTGACAAATGTCTGAATGCAGCAGACACAGAGCTTCCAGCTAGCGTGTGTATCACTTGGCAAAATGATGAATCAGACTCTGAAGACTCGGATGTATCAGACCCAAAAAATGTACACCAGCTTCTCTTCCACAACTTCCTTGTAGCTCAAAGCCAACATCAAAATGGAAGCGAGCATGGAGACTCAGGATCAACAAGTAACGTGCAGCCAGACCCCCAAAAAAGTCACACTCACTACTTAATCAACACTAACTTGTCAGGGATTTGCTGTAATAAAGGTAAAAAGTTTCTCAAATGTGACACGTGTGAGAAAACTTTTAGGTATAGGTCAGATTTGCAGAGACACCTGCTGATACACACAGGTGAGAAGCCATATTCTTGCAACATGTGTGGAAAAAGATTCAATCAGAAAGCAAGACTGAGCGGCCATATGAGGATCCACACAGGTGAGAAGCCATATTCTTGCAAAACCTGTGGGAAATATTTCCGACATAACAGTCAGTTGACAGTCCACATGAGAGGCCACACGGGAGAGAAGCCATTTACTTGCAACACCTGCGGGAAAGATTTCAGACGTAGTGATGAATTGGCAGCCCACATAAGAAGAATCCACTAACCTTATTTTTTCTTCATACAGTGTATTACTCGTATATCGAGATCGTTTAATGCTGCATCTCAGCAGCTAGGGTTCAGTTTAAGTATGATTTGATACTGTTTGGTGTTTTCATCAGTGCAGCTGTCTCATATTGAACAAACTTGTATTCAGTAGAGGAATGTAACTACATGTACTCAAGTACTTTGTGCAGCATTGATTGTCTACGTAGCCATGGTTGCATGTAAATTCCACACACATATGAAATCTTGAACACTTCCAATAAAAAAAAAATTAGTTTTGAAGCAGTTCTGTCGCCATCTTGTTTTTTTGAAGCCAGAAGTGACCATATATGGCTGTGGAGGAGCAAGGGGTGAAGCTGACTGGGAAGCAGGGGCCACTATGGCAGACAGCCCTTAATTAAGCTTAACTTTAAGCCTTAATAAAATTGAAATGGGTGAGTTGTATAAAATTTGACCTCTGTACAGTTATAATGAATGGGGAAATTAGCTATAGAGACCAAAACCGTTTTTTCCAGGCTGTAAACATGTTTATTTCTGCTGAAAAGTGGACGTTTTAACAAGGGGGGTCTCTGGGAATTGACTGACTTCTGGAGCCAGCCTCAAGGAGCCGTTCAGAGAACTGTACATTTTGGCATTTCAGTGTTGGTCTCATTTTTCAGCCCCGGAGGTTGCTGCATGAGGAAAAAGTTGCTCAAACTACTTTGTAAAAAAGAAAACCAATAATAAGAATAAAAAATGACTATGTACATCTGATATGACAAAGTGTAAAGCAAATAAAGTCACATACCAAAAAAGCCACTCAATTGATTTTATTGCAGAAAGTGCTTGTTGTTCACAAATCATACATAAACCAAAAATATAAAAAGATAAAATACCCTATTTAAGGGAAAGTTAAAGGAATGTCCCCTTTGGTTTTGTAAGTCAGACACCTGCCTTCCAGAAACCAGAGTCACCTGAGTCCATCTGGGGATTTTGCACCAAGAAGAATTACTCACTTCTCTAGGTAACTTCTTAAATAGCATGATGGCAAGTCAAAAGCAAGCAACTTCTCTGAACATTTCTCAATACGTAGTATTAATCAATACTTATGACTAATGAATGCAGCAATTTCAGTTTATGGACCAACATTGTTAATGGTTTCAGTAGTTAATTACAAAAAAATTGGCAAAAAAGTAATTTGCCACTATGCTCAGGATTTTCTATGAGTCTGTGGTGGCCAGTGCTATCATCAATGCTGTTGTGTGCTGGGGCAGCAAGCTGAGGGTGGCAGATGCCAACAGACTCAACAAACTGATCTGCAAGGCCAGTGACGTTGTGGGAACGGAGTGTGACTCTCTGATGGTGGTGTCATAGAGGAGGATGCTGTCTAAGCTACGAACTATCTTGGACAATGTCTCACACCCACTCCACCTTGTGTTGGTCAGGCACAAGAGTACTTTCAGTGGGAGACTCATACCACCAAAATGTACCAGTGAACGCCACATTCCTGCCTGTGGCCATCAAACTGTACAACTCCCCCCTCTGAGTGGCCCTGAGACTACTTCACCCACTGTCTAACAAACATCATGGTGCTTTTCTTTACCTCTAGCTCACATGCAAATGCAAAACATCATGGCATCAATAATTACAATAAAATATAAATTTGATCTCACTACATGGCACTGACAAGGGCCATTTTGCATACTGGTTCGTGTAATGTTTCTTTCTTCTAATAGATTTTTCTATTAATATTTCCATACACTAAAATAGTGCCAAATGTCCTTGTGGGATGATGTGAAGTAAGTGTAAATCCCTGCTGTTGATAAACACAAGGTTTTTAAATTAAATGCCATCAGTTGGAAGAGGAAAGAAAAGCTCCTGCACTGTCCACCGTCGGACCTAAACAGTGTGACACCAGCGGAAGTAAACAACACAACCGCCAGTCGCGTCAGCTCCATGGGCAAATTGAGTTAGGAAGATATTGCAGTCGCTGTAAAGCTAACTGTTTAATTTGCAACAATGTCTTCACTTGAGTGTCTGAGAGAGTTTGTCAATGATCGACTAACCGCTGCTTTGGAGGAAATATTCGGAGTTTTTGAGAAAACCATCGTTGAGTACGAGGAAGAGATCAACCGTCAGCGCAGACTGTTGGATATGGTGTGGAACCCTGAAGTCAAGTTACACAGGATAGGTGTGTTAAACCTACTAATTTTAATAACAACAAACAAAGGAAATTGATGTATATGTGATGCCAGTTGTTAAAATTGTGGGACTTCCTTTTGTTCTTTGTCCCTCCAGAGCTCCCACAGCAACATGTGTGTAAGCAGGAGGAGGTTCTCACTGACCAGGAGAGGAGCTCCAGTCTGGACCAGGAGGACCCAGAGCCTCCACAGATTAAAGAGGAAGAGGAGGAACTCTGTACCAAACAGGAGGGAGAGCAGCTTGAACTGAAGGAGGAGGCTGATACCTTTATGACGACTCCTACTCATGAGGAAAGTGACCACAGTGAAGATCAGACTCTGGACTGCAGCACTGTTGAAACTCAGAGTGTGGTGATGGAAAAGCCTCAAAGCTACATTTCAGTTTTAAGCTCTGTGGTACCAGAGCCAACTTTTGACCACCAGCTCCTCTGTCACGACTCTCATGTAGCTGAGAGCCAAGATCAGACACGAGGCAAACATGAAGACTCAGGATCAAGTAGAGATGCAGAGCCAGAACCACAGAGTCATCATCACACAAGCATCAGTCACTGCATCAATGTATATACCCCTACTATGACAACAACTCACTGTACTTCTCAAACTGTTAAAAACTCTTTCAAATGTGACACGTGTGAGAAAGCCTTTAGGTATAAGTCACTTTTGCAGAGACACCTGATAATACACACAGGTGAGAAACCACATTCTTGTGACACGTGTGGGAAAAGATTTAGCCGGACATCTATACTGAACGCTCATATGAGAACTCACACAGGTCAGAAGCCATATTCTTGCAACACCTGCGGCAAGAGATTCAGCCAGACATCAACATTAAGCGCTCATATAAGAATACACACAGGTGAGAAACCATATTCTTGCAACACCTGTGGGAAAAGATTCAGTCGGACATCACTATTGAACTCTCACTCAACAGTCCATACAGGGAAGAAACCGCACACTTGCGACACTTGTGGGAAAAGGTTCAGTCGGCCATCGCTGTTGAACGCTCATGCGACGGTCCACACAGGTGAGAAACCATATTCCTGCAACACCTGTGGGAAAAGATTCAGTCGGACAAAGCAACTGAACGCTCATTTAAGAGTCCACACAGGTGAGAAGCCATATAGCTGCAAAACATGTGGGAAAAGATTCAGTTGGACATCACAGCTGAAGAATCATAGAAAAGTCCATGTAGGTGAGAACCCATGTGACAACATCCTGAGCAGTGTTTGAATTGGGAAGGCATATTGGACTGCATACTGACTTTGTATTTGAACCCTCACAGGTGAGGAGCCACATGAGCACTTATTAGAAAGTATATCTCATACCTGACAAAACAGTCCGTAAACAGGACAAACCACCAGCTCCTCTGGACAAGTGTTCACTCACTAAAATGTCTCTATCTGCAAATGTCAAACCTGCAGCCCACAACCTTGGTGTGATATTTGACAGTGACCTCTCCTTTAAAAAAACAAATTACAAGCATCGTCCAGTACTCTTTCTATCAATAAAGAAGCATCTCCAAAATCAGGTCCTTTCTCTTTCAGCATGATCTTGCGAAGGTCATCCATGCTTTCATTTCTTCATGGTTAGATTGCTTCAACTCACTGTATTCAAGGTTGAGACAGAAAGCCATCTCACGGCTTCAGCGAGTGCAAAACACAGCTGCTCAGCTTTTAACAAACACTTAAACACACAACTATATCAGCCATGTTTTAGCCTCTCTTCACTGGTTACCAGTCAGTTTAAGAATTGATTTTACTGATCACTTTTAAAGCATGGTTCAGCCCCCGGCTACACTGCTGAGATGCTTCTCCCCTGTGAGCCAGATCGCAGCCTCAGATCCTCAGGCAGGGCTCTGCTGGCTGTTCTTCAGTCCTGGCTCAAAACTAAAGGTGACGAGGCTTTTGCAGTCAAGGCCCCTCAGCTCTGGAACTCCCTGCCCGAAGATCTGAGGCTTTCAGAATCAGTGGCACACTGTTTATTTTATATATGTCTCATTTAATTATTTTTATTGTTTTTTTATCTTGTGTTTTATATTGTATTACTTTAATCGATGTGCTGTGCCTCAGTGCAATCTACAGGGCCTTAGTTGCCAACTTTTCTTATCTGCTTCTGCAACGGTATTTTATCTTTACTGTTCTTTGTATTTTCTTGAATTGAAATAAAGAATACCAATATGTTTTTTCCATGGCCTAGGAAACTTTAATAAATATTTGTGAACATGAGCTGCTCTCTCAAAGCCAGAAACCGGAGAAGTAAGTCTCCAATTTCTGATGTCAGAGGGTCTTAAGTCTGCATCTGCTCCACAAACAGTGAATGTGAGCCGAATTTTATGTATGTATAGAATTTTGTTTTCTTTATTATACCCAAATGAGCCTTATTCTGTTGCACTGTTCTCAGTTAATGTACCCATATATACTCATAACATCCCCCTGGGTGCTCTCAGTATCATCTTTAACATCTTTCACAATCCATTGTCAATGGAGCAGCTCTAGGCTTGATGTCCTATGACATCACAAAGAGTTTTAGCACCCCAGCGTTTGAATTTGGGAGAGTTGTTCGTGTTTATTTGGGGACTTAACTTAGACCACAGTAATAGCATTTATGAATTAACCTGTTTTTTCCACTTCATGTTACTGTATTACTCATGTTGACTTCAGCAATAGTAATGTTTTAACAATCATAATCTCCAAAATCTTTGAAAGGTCTTGTTGCACAATGAGCGCAGTTTCCACAAATGTATGTGCTGTTAAATTAATACTCTTGTTTTGCTACTTTTACACACTACTTACTGTCAAAAATATTGATTTATAGATACATAATGATTACAAATGTTCTTAAAGGTGTCAATACTCTTTTTCTGCAGTATCGATATGCTGGTATTTTTCCCTAACAATGTTATGACACCGCTGCAGTGCATCCATTGCTGCCTCCTCTCACTTGCTCTCTTCTCCGTTTAATTCTGTTCAGTTCAGTTTAATGGAGCTTTACTGACATGCTGAACATACGTTTACACTGCCAAAGCAAGTGTGAAATAAAAGCAAAAAGTATACATGAAGTAATGATTGACAAGGATAAAGAAATGTGTAGACAGAGATATAAGAGCTGTGTCCCCATCGCCCCGACTCCTCTCACTCCATCACAGTGCCGTCTTCTCGACTCCCACCTAATTTACTCTAGCTGCATATAATCTTTTGTGACATGGTTTTGTTTTTTACCTGCACTTTATTTCCTTTTGAATGTGTGACAATCTGAGTGTCTTTTGAACGTGCACTACTGCAAGAAGAATATTGTTTTTGTTAATGTAAAAAAGTTATAATCATTGTTAATGTCTACTACAGTCATTCTGCTACTAAGAGAAGGAAAAAATGTCAAAGCATTGTTACAGTTATCTTCTGTTAAAATGTGTTTAACTTTATGCCCTCATTGTCAATCATGCCCCTTAGTATCAAAAATGGTATCAGAGATCGGTATTTTTCAGCGCATTTTGTCAAAGTTAGAATTCCAGTGCTGTGACAACACTAATGTGAATTGAGAATCTCTGATGTTGAAGCTGAGAAACTCTCTCCTACAAATGTAAAGGACTGACCTCTGGAATGAATAAACCCTTTACTAGTGTTGGGTCACTTGTCTTTTTATCCTGCCAGTCAGAGCATTTTTATTTTATTTTATTTTATTTTATTGATGCTGCATCATTTTTCTTAATTGCATATTGTCATGTATCTTGTCTTTGATTTAACTTGATATAAGGTGACACAACCTGCAGATCACGTGCAGCATGTTACTGTCAAATTATGTTGTTAATTATAACATATAACAATATTTAATCAAATGAAAGAGAAGTCATCACAAAAACAAAAGTCTCTCTTACAATGTAAACACCTTTATTACGTTAAAGATTCACTGTAGCACACGACATGTGGGCTGTCATTATTTTATATAAAGATTTATGTAAAATAAATGAATCACACATTAAAAATAAAAGTGTGCTTCCTTAATACAGTCACATTCAGATTCAGACAACTTTATTAATCCCACCAGGAGCAATTTGTTTGAACAGAACATATAGACACATAAATGAATGAGTAATAAAAAAATATGCCAGGGAGTTCAGTGGAATAAATGACTCTATAAATAATAAAAGTTAATAGACACATTATCATAATGGACATAAAAACAGTAAAAACAAAAATGTACAAAGAATTTTAAAGACAAATAGCAGCAGGAATAAAAAAATTGAATACTGGTTAGTTTTACAAGCAGGTAAAGTGTAATGACACCCTGACGGCAACAGAGAAAAATAAATCACCTTGTGCGTGTAAAAATATGTTTCCTTCTAATGTGTGCTGTCAACTCGTTGCTACGTCTGAAATCTTTCCCGCATGCGTTGCACAAATATGGTTTCTCACCTGTGTGGATTCTTGCATGAGTTTTCAGCGCTGACGTGTAAGCAAATCTTTTCCCGCAGGTCTTGCAAAGGTACGGCTTCTCACCTGTGTGGGTCCTCATGTGGACTTTTAAGTCACCGCTAAGTCTGAAATCTTGCCCGCATGTTTTACAAGTATATGGTTTCTCACCTGTGTGTAGTTTGACGTGAGCGTTCAGTCCCGACATGTAACGGAATCTTTTACCGCAGGTGTTGCAAAGGTACGGCTTCTCGCCCATGTGTGTTCTCATGTGGCTTTTCAAGAAGCGATTCTGTCTGAAAGCTTTCCCGCATGATTTGCACACATATGGCTTCTCATCTGTGTGGATCGTTATATGAGTGTTTAACTCTGATGTCCAAAAGAATCTTTTCCCACAGGTGTCACAAGAATATGGCTTCTCACCTGTGTGTGTTATCAGGTGTCTCTGGAAATGTGACTTACAGTTAAAAGCTTTCTCACATGTGTCACATTTGAAAGACTTTTCACCTGTGTGGAAATTGTTTACTTTGTCTCTGTGACTTCTGCTTTTGTGATGTCTTTTTTGGGGTTCTGGCTCTGAATTTTGAGTCAATGCTGAGTCCCCATGCTCGCCTCCTTTCTGATCTCCTCTCTTAGCTACATGAGAGTTTTGAGAGAGGAGCTGGTGGTCACTTTTTGGTTTTGATGCTTCACAATTTTCACTGCCAGATTTGTCTTTTAGGCAACTGATACCCATGCAAGCTGGAAGCTCTGATGGACACTGACTTTTGTCCGGATTCAAGCTCAAAGTCTGATCTTCGCTGTGGTCACTTTCTTCATGAGTAGGAATCAACATAAAGGTATCCGTCTCCTGCTTCAGTGCAAGCTGCTCTCCCTCCTGGTTGCCACCGTGTGCTTCTGATACCACCGAGCTTATAACTGGCATGTTGGCTACAGACTCTTTCTCTGCTTCCCTAAAAGTATCATCAGAGTTGAAGTCCAGAGTCTGATCTTCACTGTGGTCACTTTCCTCATGAGTAGGAGTCAATATAAAGGTATCAGCCTCCTCCTTCAGCTCAATCTGCTCTCCCTCCTGACTGGTGCAGAGTTCCTCCTGTTCCTCTTTAATCTGTGGAGGCTCTGGGTCCTCTTGGTCCAGACTGGAGCTCCTCTCCTGAATACAGAGCTGCTGGTCTGTGAGAGCCTCCTCCTCCTTAAAGACATGTTGCTGTGGAGGCTCTGGAGGGACAGACAACAAAATGAATAGGATACTAGTGTGATGGTAAAGACAAAACGAGCAGACATGCGAACATATTAGTATCAGTATATTTATATTTTAAACAAATGGGATTATCGAATTCCTCTGCTTTGTATTAGTAAAATATATTTAGTGTTACATACCTATATTGGGTAATTTCATTTCAGATCTCCAAACAATATCCAGCAGTCAGACAGATGTATTTCTTTTGCTCGACGATAGGTTGTTTTTTTTTTTTGTTAAATTATTATTAATTCATTTTGTCCTTATTTTTTAATTCCTAATTCCTGAAATACTCAACTGGATACCGTGTTGTTAAATTAACCATGAAATAACTGCATATGCTGCCATTTTAATGTAGTATCCTAGCTAATTAAATACACGTACGCCTCTAATACAGCGCTTGTATTATTTACTTCCGCTCGATGTCACACTATTAAGTTCCGACAGTGACAGTGCCGGAACTTTTCTTTCCGCCTTCAACTGATGCAAACATGTGCGTTTAATATCACTATTACGGATATTCATACCATCGCCTCTTTCCACAAGGTAATTAGATAATATTGTCTGAACTATATCTTACAATTGACGGCTTGATTTTGTTCAAAACAAATAAATGAGCAGTGGCGGAAGAACTGTTCCGATTATTCAGGCAGAAATAATTCATGGTGTGTTAAAAATGTTACACACACAAAGTAGTAGGCTGGTTTAACGGGCCATCAGTTAAAAGAGGAGAGAGACTTTTCCTAGAAGTGTGGGATAATGAAAACATATCTTCACGGTGTCTTCACTCTTATTCTTGCGGCAATTTGTAAAGCTCTGCGAGAGCAACTGCACAAGCAGCAGCTCCCCCTACCGACCAAATGGCCTCACTGCTCTCCAGGGAGCTTCTGAGGTAATTCGGACAGCACACTTGACTAATTGATGACATTTGTCTGGTTTCTCTTTTGATTAATTTGCTTTACATCAGGTTTTCTTCCATTTTGATTTCTGGCTTTTCTTTTGATTTCTCATTCACAACAAGCTTCATTAATCAGCATCTTATTTTGCAGTGGTTTGGTTTCTCTTTTTTTAAAAAAATTCTGTCATTTCTACGGTCCATTTATTTACTTTTTTTTAGTTCAGTTCAGTAATTCAAGCTTTTACTTACGTGTTGTTTTTGCACGCTTTGCACACACTTTTTTTTTAGATTTTTTATTCATAGCATTGTACTTTTGTTTCTTCAAATAACTTATATACGATCATATAACATGAGCATGAAATTTAGATAATAAAAGATTAAAAAAACATATTTAATTTAATTTGCCCATATTAAGACATTGTCCTTGTTCATTACAGTGAAACACCAACTAAATTAAGAATTCCAATGTGTTATTTCCATTGCCTGGGAAAGTTCAATCAATATCTGTAAAATGTGCTACTCTCTCTCTCTCTCTCTCTCTCTCTCTCTCAAAGCCTTCTTTGATTTGGTCATTTCTACTACCTAGCAGGAAATGTCTGTGGTTAGGTAACCATTCTGTTTGCTCATTTACCATGTGTTAATTAAGATACACAAGTTCCACCTGTAGATATCTCATTTGAAACATCTGCAAACTATATGGTAGTCCTGCCGTTGTGAGGTGAAGAGAAAAAATGCAAAATGATCTTGTTTGATTCACTAATATTGTGTGGTGGGCCACATACACTTTATTTGAAAGTCAGGCTGAGGGATGTTTAAAATTGTGGATCCACAGAATGTTTGTTTTCTTTTTTAAACCCAAACAAGCTTTATTCTATTGTAGTGTTCTCAGCTTTGAAACAGAAATTGTACCCATATACTCAGAACATCCCCCTGGGTGCTCTCCGTGTCATACACAACATCTCTCCCAACTTATTGTCTATAGAACAGCTCCAGACTTTCTAACCCGGATTTGGGAGATTACAATACTGTTTGCAAACAGAAATACAACAAATTCAGTCAAATGAAAGGAAAAACGTTACACTAAGATACTGACATCTCAACTTTATTGTAAAAATGTACACTCAGTGACAGAGATGTAGCTACTACAAAAGTAGAGATGCACAATATGGATTTTTTCCAATAACTGCCTTCTTCTTTTGGCCGATACCAATAAGACAACCGATAATTTCACGTTTCTATATTTCAAAGGAAGTCCATAGCCTGTATTTTATACACACCTGGGGGTGAAAAGAGCAAAGATGTAGTGAGCAGAGGTGAAAGATTTAATATTACATTGCTCAAACCAAATCTAACTGAGGTCAATAATATTTACACAACAAAAATAAAAAACAGTTCTGACTCTTCAGCTGTTCTTTTTAAGTGCACATCAAAAAACTTCAAACATAATTTGCTTTTTATAGAGTGTTTTACCTAAGATTTCCATTTAATGCTTTGACATAACATTTGTCACATTAGATGTATCAACGTGTTATACACAGTTGAAGTAAGTGCATCCCTTAATCCAAAAATAAAGGCTTGTGTTTAACATAAATTCATTCATTCATCAGGCCAGATGAGATATGTAATCCCTCCAGTGGGTTCTGGGTCTACCCTGGGGCCTCTTACCAGTGGGACGTGCCCCAAAACACCTCCAGTGAGGCACCCAGGAGGCATCCTGATCAGATGCCCTGTGGGCCCACCGCCCACAGGGACAGAGATCAGGGTTTGGTGCATTGTGTGCGGGTCCCCAGGCGTGCTGATGGCTGTGGCTCTGGGGACAGTCCTTCAGCGCTGCATCTAACCAGTGTAACTGTAGCAACAGAAAGGAAAGACACCCCCGACACAACTGCGTTATCTTCCTCTAAAACTGTGAGAAACGTCCAAACTGGTGACAACATGTTTGGCTCTTTAGTCAGCATGCTGAGCTTGCTCTTCGTCTTCTTCTTCTTCTTTGTGTTCTCTAAGTGCGGCCGATGAAAGCAATATGGCTTTGTATTATCGGCTCTATTTTTCAGTTACAATTTGATTAATAAATAATTTGAATAATAAATAATAATATAAATTTCCCATTATCAGCCAGATATATTGTGCATCCCTATACAAAACTGTATTTAATTCCGTTGAACATGTCTCTGCGCGAGTTTCATCTGTATGGTTTCTCCTGTGTATATTGGTCTCTCTTTTTTTTTCTTTTCAAGAATGTGATTGGAGTAGAACTTTTCCCAAAAGTGCTATAATTGTGTGGCTTATTGCTTCTATGAGAACCACTAGAACTAAATCCTCTCACACATACCTGGCATGCACGAGTCTACATGCCTGTGTGTGATCTTATATGCCTTGTCAACTGAGACACATCAAAGTACGTTTTCCCGCAGATCTTGCAAAGATGCGGCTTCTCCCCAGTGTGGGCTCTTCTAATGTGGACCAACAAGTCACGACTAACTCTGAAAGCGCTCCCACATGTGTTGCAAGTAAACGGCTTCTCACCCGTGTGGATTCTCATGTGGAGTTTCAATTCGTCATTACGTCTGAAAGCTTTCCCACATGTCACGCACAAAAATGGCTTCTCACCTGTGTGGCCTCTTATGTGAATGTTCAGTGCTGACATCTGACTGAACCCTTTCCCACAGGTGTTGCATAAATATGGCTTCTCACCTGTGTGGCCTTTTATATGAGTGTTCAACGCCGATTTTTGACTGAACTGTTTCCCACAGGTGTTGCAAGAATATGGCTTCTCAAATGTGTGGATTCTTGTGTGAATGTTCAGTGTCGAGGTGCGACTGAATCCTTTCCCACATATGTTGCAAGAATACGGCTTCTCGCCTGTGTGGGTTTTCATGTGTCTCTGCAACAGTGACTTAAACTTGAAATATTTTTCACATATGTCACATTTGAAAGACTGTTTGTCTGTGTGAGTTGTACAGGGAATCTCTGAGAAGTCAGGGTTGCCTGTAATGTTACCGTGAATGCTGCTTTTGTGATCTCTCTTGTGTGGTTTTGGCTCCGCATCTCGACTTGATCCTGAGTCTCTGTGCTTGCCTCTTGTCTGATCTTGGCTCTCAGCTACATGAGAGCTGTGAGAGAGGAGCTGGTGGTCACCGTGTGCTCCTGATACCACAAAGCTTATAACTGGCAAGTTGACTACATACTCTTTCTCTAATGTACTCAAAGTGATATCAGGATTTAAGTCCAGAGTCTGATCTTCACTGTGGTCACTTTCCTCATGAGTAGGAGTCAACATAAAGGTATCAGCCTCCTCCTTCAATTCAAGCTGCTCTCCCTCCTGACTGATGCAGAGTTCCTCCTCTTCCTCTTTAATCTGTGGAGGCTCTGGGTCCTCTTGGTCCAGAATGGAGCTCCTCTCCTGGTCAGTGAGAACTTCCTCCTCCTTATAGACATGTTGCTGTGGGAGCTCTGGAAGGACAGACAACAATAGGTAGGCTACTGTGATGTTTAAGAAAAACATGCAGACATGCAAGTACCAGAATGTATTTTCAACAAAAAGGATAATTTATAAATCGTATTTCTCTGTTTGTGTTATCAAAAATAATTAAGTTTACCCACCTGTGCTGTGCAATGTTAGCTCAGGTTTCCAAACGATATCCAAAAGTCTGCGCAAACGATCAATCTCTTCCTCGTACTCGACGATAGTTGTTTTAAAAACTCCGAATATTTCTTCAGCAGCAGCAGTTAGTCTCTCTTTGACAAACTCTCTCAAATACTCAACTGAAGACATTGTTACTTCACGAGAAATTTAATATTTATCGACGCTACGACTATAAAAACATCCTAAAGCTACTTCAATACATGAATGAAGCTAGCGCTACAAGCGCTTGTGTTGTTTACTTCCGGTGGTGTTACACTCTTCAGGTCCGACAGAGTAAATCAAAGCGGGATTTTTCTTTCCGCTCTCAGCTGATGGCAGTAGTGAGATACGTTTTAAAAACAACAACAACAAAAATGGTGAAAGAAGTATTCCGTTTATTTAAGTAGAAACCATGGTATATTCACTACGCATTCAGGATGGTAGTTCAGTATAATTACAGAAGTCTTATTCGCAAAATATATGAAGCACCTGATCTCCCAAAAGGGGGCTTTTTTATATTGTGTGCACACGTTAATTTTTCTTATGTGAACCAGTTATTACCTTATGGAAACAAGATATTTTCTTGAATTGTGCCAACAAGATAATAAGTTGTTCCCATGCACAAGATAATTAACCACCCACCCAACATTTGTATGTGGAGCCCATGTGGGTAGTAAATGGGCTGAAAAATGGGCCCTATATGGGATTGTCCACACGTTCCGTATTGTATGGGTTACGCAATTGGGCCCCAGATAAGATGCCCATTTCGGACCCATGCCCACTTTGTACTCGGGTAGCCCCAGAATGACCCATGTTGGCAATTAGCATAGGGCCAATATGGAACATGTGGGCAATCCAATATAGGGCCAATTTTTTCAGCCCATTTTCTACCCACATAAAATAACATGTAGAAAAGTAGAAAGAAAAGCTCCCACACTTGACGGAGCCATATCAACGTAGCCTTTATATGCCTATAACTTTGGTTTGTAGCCATCTCACCCACCAACGGTATTTCTTAAAATCCAAGAAAACAGCATCATACAATCAGAGTATTTACAAAGCAACATAAGCAAGTATTCATTTACCATTTTTACACATTTTTGCCAAACAAAATACAACTAAATCCCTGATGACACGGGATATTTCAAAAATGAATTTTAGATTACGACAATCATTTTTGCGTTCATGTTTTTGGAATAAGCTCAAACAACAAGCAAAGATGAAAACCACTTTGCATAATTCATTTCAGACAGTAGAGACAGTTTTTTTCTGCAGTCAACAAACCAGTTCTGCTAAAGAATGAAACAACAAATAACAATCTATCAGAGCTGGAATGTGTTTTGATAAACTGAACCAATGAGACTTTGAGTGGACAGTATGAAACGCTGAAATTAAAACATGAACAAAACGGAAATAATTCATCAGAAAATTTCAGAAATATCTCAAACTAAAATGACAAAGTATTTGGTGTAGAAGATACAGTGTTATATTATGATCTAATTAAGCAAAAGACGCTGCTTATAATCCAAAGAATATAATTGGTTTAAGAAAATATAAAAGTTCATCACCTGTTGATGTAATGTAGTTTGTATGCTGAGAACATATTTCTTTCTGGATGATTGTCTTGATTATTCCAAAGAGACAAACAGTGAAGTAAGAGTCAACAACACTGACATCACAAAGAAATCTCAGTCTGACAGATTTTGATCTCAGCAGTTTTAGCATCACCGGCCTCTCCAATAAAGAAATATGGGAAGAGTTTCTCGGTGAAAGTGTCTCTGTGAATGTAGATGTGACTCATGTCCTTAGAGTCATAGAAAGACACCTCCCCCTTGTCATAGTTCAGCTGGACTCCGACCCGCTGCTGACTCTTCTTCACTGTCACAGTCCTACCATCTCCATTAGTGTATTTTCCATAGCCATGCCATAAACACCAGACTCCACAGTCCGGTGTGGCATATCTCTTTCCCTTCCTGTCAATGGACTCATTAGCCAAACCTATATTCCAGCGAGGATGATCTCCCACCTCCACCTCCCAGCTGTGCTCTCCTGAGCTGAACCCCTCAGAGCCCAGAATATTGGCGTAATTAGTGCATCTCTCTCGATTGTCAGGAAGCTGCTGGTTTTTGTGTCCCGCTCTCACACTGGTCAGATCATCAGACAGACGGAGACAGTGACCTGTAGTGTTCGGGTCCAGAATGACGGGACTGAAGTGGACCTTCTCCCTCATCTTCTCCCAGACTCTGAAGGACAGGTTGCCCAGGTGTTTGGCCACATCTATCAGCGCTCCTGAGACCAGCTGTGGATCTGACAGTGAGCTCTGGACTCTGGCTCTGCTCTGAGTGTCTTTATAACTGCTGAGGAATGGCACGTTGTGTTTCTGCAGCTCTTCCTCAACAGCAGAGATACTGTCAGATAGAGAGGAGATCTGCTTCTGAATCATCTTCATCTCTCTCTTTATAGTCTTTCCCTTCTGCTCCTCTTCCTCCCTCAGAGCTGCCACTCTGGACTCCTCTTCCTCTTTCAGGAACTGCTGGAGCTTGTTGAACTCTGCTCTGATCTGCCTCTCTGTGGACAACAGCTGCTTCTTGGAGTGTTGACTCATTTCATCGTATGTTTTCTCCACTTGTTTGTATTTGTCCCTCTTGTCCTGCAGAGACTTTAAGTCAGATTTCAGCTGGTCCTTCAGGTCACTGACTTTTTGTTTTATGGGAACCACCTTGTGACTCTCGTGAAGAGAAAACTTACAGACAGGACACACAGCTCTGTCTTCATCCTCACAGAAAAATTTAGGCTCTTCTTGATGCTCGCTACACAGCAACATTAGTTTCCTTTCTCCCATTTCTGTCTCAGATGTTCCAGCTTTCTGTATCAGCCATGAGTCAGCCATTTGTTTCAGTATAAATTCCGTTCCTGGTTCGTCCATTGAGGATTTTCTTTTACAAATGTGACAGTTTTTGTTTTTAGCTTGTTCCCAGCGTTTTTGCAGGCAGCTTGAACAGAAGCTGTGGTGGCAGCCCAGAGACACAGGATCTCTGAAAATCTCTGAACACTCATGGCAAATCAAATAACTTTCAAGGAGAGCTCGCTCAGCCATTTGTTATCCAAGTTATCTTTGATTAGCAGGACTCACCAACTTCTAGTCTCTTCGCGTCTCCACTTAAAGAACTCCAAACGTATGTTTTCCAGCAGAGATCTCACACCCTGTGATGGCGTCTCGGCTCTGAGCAACAATGTAATGGCTTCAGATGGCAACAGGATAAATACTTTGTCGTTTAAACAGGCTGACTGACTCTGAACCAATTTAACAACATATCTATTTTTAAGTCAAACAGGAGCAGGGTAACCCTAACCCTATGTTCTGTGAATATGACTGTGTTAATTTCATCCAGTTGGATTAAAAGCACTCTCTTAATGTGCATTCATGTAGGAACCAAAGTTATTTTGGCCACCTTCACCTAAATTTATTCTTTCTTTCAACATTGTGTCATAATAAATGTACAAATAACAATCATGATATAGAGTCTTATAAAGTCTCTCAGCTTGAGTGTATTTGTTTTGCTTTCTGGCATATTTTCTCCTTCTCTCATTAGTTTTCTTTACCCTCTTATTGACATTAAAGATCACAAATCTTGAGTGTATGTATGTATTTGTTGGAACTATTATTGAGTTAAATAACTGCGAAATAACTACATAATACAGTTTTTGATTTTCAGTGGATAAATATTCTCGCCACATTGGGTCAGATCTGCCGATAGACTTAGCGTGTTTAAGGAAAGAAATCTTTGGTGAAAATTTTACTTCTCAAGAGCAAAAGTTTTAGACACCCATCACTACATGTACATGTAATCCTCTCTTTAATGCCAAAGCAGAAGTGCCAAAAACTGCAGCTCCATGGATGGTCACTTGGGGCTGGCTCCAAAAGCAAGTCAATCCCCATAGACCCCAATGTTAAAACGCCCAATTTTACAGTACACATAAACACATATACAGCCTATCCCCCAGTCATGACAGCTGTACAGGAGGGAGGGTGATTTTTTTTAGAGCTTAATTAAGGGCGTAGCTGCTTTGAGTGACAGGCCGCCTGCCAAAAGTGTCCTTGGTATCTCAGTCAGATCCACTCCTCACTCCTCCACAGCTTCACCCTTATTAAAAAACTGTAATAAGCTCACCGTAAGCTTGTGTGTGTAAACATCTTTATCAACAAAGTAACTGTCAGACTGTCACATAAATACAGTGGTCTTAAAAAGCACAATATTTGCCTGTGAAATTATAAAATTAAGGAAAGTAGAACTACACCGATCAGCCAAAACATTAAAACCACTGACAGGTGAAGTGAATAACATTGGTCTACTGGGAAACCTTTGGTTCTGGCATTCACGTGGATACCACCTGACATGTTCCACCCACTCAAATGCCGTTGCAGACCAAGTACCCCCCCTCATGGCAACAGTGTTCCATAATGGCAGTGGCCCCCCCCAGCGGGATAATGCATCATGCCACACTGCAAACATCCAAATTCCAAATTCCCCAGATCCCAATCTGAATGAGCATCTGTGGCACGAAAATGTACTGCTCTATTTCACTAAGACACTGTGACCTCTTCTCAATGTGAAATCATATCTAATAACAAGAGATACAGCTATTGCAAAAGTGTCTTTCGTTTAGTTCTTGAACATGCCTCCACAAGAGTTTCAGCTCAGCTGTGTATACTGACGCTCAGGTGTTTTTTTTTCAGGTAGCCTATCTAATTGAAACTTGTCCTTCAAGTGCTGCAACATGGCACCTCACCTGATGTGTTCATCATGAACCATGAGAACTGATTCATTGAAAACACAGGGCTTCCTTTTTTGAATAGGGGCCAACGAAAACACCTGGGGGTCAGCTGCTTCTTACTTCATATGGGTAAGAATAAGACAAGCACAACTGTTGCATCTTTCTGTGAAAAAGTATTCAATTTTCCACCATTCCTGAAAGCGACGGCCTTCACTGTTAACTTTACACCTCTTTGCTGCCATGTCTGCTACCTAGCAGGAAATGTCTGCTGCTAGGTAGCTTTGTTTGTTTATCGTCTGCATAGTTCCTACTTGGTGCATGTCTACAAACTGTATGATAGTGCTGCCATCATGAGATGAACAGAAAAAAATGAAATATGATAAACCACTTGATCACTTGATAAACCAATATTGTGTGGCAGGCCACATATGATATATTCTTGAAGAAATGCTGCAGGCTTTTTAAATTGGTCCACAAGCCACGATTGGCCCCAGGTCAGTCACTGACACAGGAATCATTCCCCCCACCCCTCCACCTCACAGGGCCCCAGTGCTGCCCCTGCTGCCTGCCCTGCACTGTCTATATTTACGCCCCTGGATACAAGCATACACAAAAGTGCAGTAAGTGTTAATTTTTAAAAGACCAGCATTTTGTGGTGTGCAATCAGTTGAACACACTGACAGGCTGATATAGATGCAGTTTGATGGACAGGAAACAAAACTTTTTTTTAATTTTATTTTTACAAAAAAGCATCACTTTTGTTATGAATTAATTTACATTTAAAGGCGCTGTATGTAAGAATGTGGCCAAAATGGTTACTGCACTCAAATTCAAAATACTGCCGCGAGTCGTGTCCGCTCCCCCCCCTCCCCTATAGATTCGAGGTTGCTGGACAGCGGCACGCTGGAGACTGATTTGTTTGCCCACGGGCGGCTGCCGTGGCAGGGCCGCGTCGCCGCGTCCTTGATCTTCGGTTTTCCAGCGGACTGTTTGAGCAAGTCCGGCTTCTCTGCTGCTAATGCTGCTGCCGGGATACAGCTCATGAGGAGCCGGCCGCTAATGCTATGTCCTGGGATACTGCTAATGCTGCTTGCCGTGCTGCTGTAGCTCAGTCATAACTGTAACTGATGCGGAGACTCTACTGACTGCGTGACTGGTAGACGGCGGTGTGTGGCGCAACAGGCCAAAACACAAATTCAAAACATAAACATGATTTGCGGACCGTAAAAATGTTTTTTAAATGTGAATATTCTGGCTGTACTATTGTTGTCGGTGAGATCATTTTGTTATATGAACATTATTCCTTAGTCTCTGTGACATATTAGGAGGATTTTATGACTATTTGCTTTATATTTCTTACATATAGCTCCTTTAAGCAGTTGTGTGGTTTAAAAATTATCTTGCAGACAGAACCCAGGCTGTTCACACAGAGGGTTCTCAGTCAGATTTTTTGCAAGTGTATATAGGGGTTCCACAAGGTTCATTCCTGGGCCCTTTGTTGTTTATCATATATATATATTTAACAACATTGGAAAAAATATTGAGGATGCAACCTTTCCTTTCTATGCCGATGAGACTGCCATCTACTGCTCTGCTCCCACCCCAACAAAGGCTTTTGAAAAGATTCAGCATGCTTTTGACAGAGTACAGGAACAACTTGATCATCTGCAACTTCTTCTAAACTCAGAGAAAAGAAAACTCATGTTCTTCACTGCCTCTAACATAGCAAGATCAACTCAATCAGAAATGATTGTCACAAAAAAAGGTCATCAAATAGAGTTGATCTCTTCTTTTAAATACCTAGGGTTCTTAGTTGACGACCGCTTGTCTTTTAAGGAGCACATTCAGTATATTGTTAAAAAGCTGAAGCTGTTATTGGGATTTTATTACAAAAACAAGACTTGTTTCTCCTCTAATTATTGTCTGTAAATATGTGACTGTATCGCTGCTGTCTTGGCCAGGGGCCTGTATCACGAAGCAGGATTAATGTCTTAGCAAGGTAACTTCAGGGTTAACCCTGGGTTTTCGGTCTCACGAAGCCGGTTCAGTTCTTATCGGGGTAGATCACCATGGTAACTTACTCTGAACGGCTATCCTGCTCCGGAGCAGGGTAAGTTCAGGGTTGAATCTGATCCTATAAAAAACACCACCCACTGGCCAATCAGCTGTTC